GTTCTAGTTCTGTGAAAAATACCAGTGGTAGTTTGATAGGGATTGTATTGAATCTGTAGATTGCTTTGGGTAGTATAGTCATTTTCACAATGTTGATTCTTCCAATCCAAGAACATGGTATATCTCTCCATCTGCTTGTATCTTCTTTAATTTCTTTCATCAGTGTCTTATAGTTTTCTGCATACAGGTCTTTTGTCTCCTTAGGTAGGTTTATTCCTAGGTATTTTATTCTTTTTGTTGCAGTGGTAAATGAGAGTGTTTCCTTAATTTCTCCTTCAGATTTTTCATCATTAGTGTATAGGAATGCCAGAGATTTCTGTGCATTAATTTTGTATCCTGCTACTTTACCAAATTCATTGATTAGCTCTAGTAGTTTTCTGGTAGCATCTTTAGGATTCTCTGTGTGTAATATCATGTCATCTGCAAACAGTGACAGCTTTACTTCTTCTTTTCCGATCTGGATTCCTTTTATTTCTTTTTCTTCTCTGATTGCTGTGGCTAAAACTTCTAGAGTCAATTTTAAACCTGATAAAATTTCACCAATTAGCCAGGCAGTGTAAAAAAATTCTGCTTATACAGTTAGTAGCAAAGCGTAGCTAAGTGTTATCAAATGATTATATTTAAATGATCTGTAAAAAGCTCATGAATTTTTTCTTAAACAATATGCTGCAGTTGATGTATTTGAAGAGTCTGTTCTCCTGGTTTGATAAAACCTCTCCCTTGCAATCTTGTTGACTTGGATAATGGCTTAAATGACTCTTGTATGCAGGGATTTGGGAGAGGTAGTTTAGCCTAGCCCATGTGTAAATTTATGCTATATTTTAATTAATGGGGACTACGTTGTTGATGCTTTTCCTGACCCTGTGGCTTTGTCAGCCAGTATTCCTTTCATTTCAAATGACAGTTTTCAAGTTCGTACTGAATGTATGTTAACAAAACTGAGAACCCAAGCATGTTTTTTTGCAGCCACTCAAAATCCTAGCTTTTCAGTAGCTCTTCTGCAGACCTGTTTGAAAGATGTGCAGAGCAATGACTAATCTTTATTTTACTTTTGGCCTGTGTCTGATTACTATCCTTGGCTCAACTCTGTAGGAGTCAGAATGGGACTGATAGCCCAGTACTTTGGCAACCACAATCAGCTGTTAAGATCAGAGTGTACCATCAAAGCATTCCACTTCCCCAACCAAGGGAGACACACACACACACACACACACACACACACACGTCGTCAGAGATCCCCTTTGTTCTATAGCGTGACATTTTACTAGGATCCTGGGACAAAATTAATTGTAGAGAGCAAATTCTGTCCTTTATCTGGGTGTGTATGAGGAGAAAAAATTATTGAACTTTCCTTCAATACGATGGGCATCTGTGAGTATGAACCCATTTAGAGTCTACTGGATATAAAGGTCTTGGTGCTAAGGACCTGGGCTAATGGAAGGTGAAAGCCTGGACCACTTTGTTCTCTCATTTCAAGGATTTGGAAGATTCTCCCTGAGCTTTTGCTAAAGATGAATGTAGCCTGGGGAAAAGACGGTGACCTATTTAGTTATTCTGGCAAAATTTTCAGTCAAATGATTCCATCTTTCCCAAGCATTTAGCTTGCAATTATACCTTCATTTGTTTGCTTGTTTATTTAAGGCCTGTCTTCCCTCCTAGATTAGGAAGGGACCTCATTTGTTTTACTCACAACCGTGTAGTCAGTGCTTAGAATAGTGCCAGACATTTATTAAGGACTCCATCAGTGCTGTTGTATGAATGGATAAAGGTATGTTTGGCTGACCTACCACGTGCCCAGTCTCATGCATGAGAAGACACTGTTATAACTCAGGGGAAGATATTTCCTCTGCCTTCTGAGCATTTGGAGATTATCACATGAGGGATTTAAGGTTTATAAGGACTTGGGTTTAATTCTCAAACCACCATTCATTTGGCATTTACAGTGAAAATTAATATAATTTTGAATGTGGGATCATTCACTGAATAAAATGATCATTGGAAATCTTTGCTTGTGGTATATGGTGGTGCAACATAGGTTTGTGGTAAGTAAAAAAAAAATTAAAGGAAAAAAAAGTACCCTTCACAGCCAACTGTCAACCAAGAAGCAAAGGCTGAATTTTAAGCACTTCTTCATAGCAGCTGGCTGTTCACCCGTGGCACTGGGGCTCACTTACTGAGATCTTATGCAAGGCACACGTTCCACGGGCTGCAGTTCTGTTTGCAGTTAAGTGGATTTCAAGGATCTGTTCTAGCTCTAGAATTTGGTGAGCTGTTTGACAGAGCCTAGAACCAAAAACTTGCTGGCGCAGAAGCTTAATGGTGCAGAGCAAGAGCTCTGAGCATCATATAGACTTGGGTTCAAGTCCCAGCTTGCCCTGCCACTGCTGGGCACTCAGCCCCTCGGCATCTCATCTGTGAAATGGAGATAATAATACCTTTGTCCGAAAGTTATTAGGACGTCCGAATAAAGAGTTGCACTAAAAGTGCTTAACAGAGTCTGGCCAAGAGTAAATATTCAGAAAGTTAGCTTTTATTATTTCTATCTCAAATGTTTCATGTTTATGTTCTCCATCTTTATTTTTGTCATTTTTAAGCCTCACCAATAGAACTGGGATGATTTGTCTGCAAGCTACACGGTAAATAGCTCACAACGGACGGGTGGTCATTTAATTTATCAAAAGGCATCCCTTTATGTGACATCAGGACCTTGATAGACAATGCCTTCCCCCGTATTTCAAGGTGGTTTTATGGTATGGCCCATCTGTGCTTTTGAGAGATGTCAGAGTAGCCCTCTCCTGGACATTGTGTCTCACTCTTCAAATGAACTCCTTCATAAGCATAAGTATGCCACTATGTCTTGAAACTCCTTTTCCAAGACATAGTTTCTGGCCCAGATCAGGCATTTTTCCTCTAGCCTGGCTTCTTATAAATTCACTGGAAACAGAAGGAGTTTGTCTGAAGGCTACTAAGGAAATGGAGGTGAAAGACTACATTTAGAAAACTCCAATTCAGCGAGGCTCCATGGAATAAAGTACACATGGGGAATGCCATATAGTTCGAGGCAGCGTCCCTAACGCTTGCAAGAGGTCCTTTGCCTCTGCAGGGTGGAGAGGTGGGTGTGGAGCGATGGTGTGCTGGCTCTTCCTCTCCTTCACAAAGCGTGCGGACTCTGCAAGTGCCAAGGCTGTAAGCGGGATCTCTAGGGTCTGGGCATCTCCAATTTCCCGTTGTCCTAAAGTTCTCTTTTCTCCCTGAATTTACTGACTATCTCCCTTCTCTCCATTACCTCTCCTCCTTTTTTTTTTTTTTTTTTAACTGCTTTCTGCTTGGATCCTCCATAGGAATGCCTTGGGGTAAATATTTTTTTCTTCAGTTTTCTTTGAAGTAAAAAAATATGGGGAGTGGGTTGGAGGAGGGAGAAAGTATGGTTGAGAGGGAAGGAACTGGCTCACTAAGAAAGGAGTGGTGAGTTTATGTGAGTGGTGTGTTTTCATTGATATCCAAGAGAACAGAAACTAGGAGTCACCAAGCCTTCTTGGGAAATGATCATTCTTATTGGTTTGGATATGTTTTCGGCCTATATGTTGCCTTTTTAGAAAGATAGATAGACGATCCTACTAAAGTAAAAGAGTTTATAAAATATACAAAGCCCACGGATGCAAAAGGCCATTGATATCAATGTGATACTTTCGGGTTATCTATATTCAGATCTAGAACGGAGTAAAAGCAACTTACACATCATGGATTGTAACCATTTAAGAGGGTCTCAGAATTCACCTTCTAGGCGGTCAGCCTTCCATTAACTGTCTTCCTGCCTTGCCTTGTATGAAGGAATGGATGGCCTTTGATCTCCCTATTTGGAGGATGGGTATGGCAGGAAGGACAGGGTGAAAAGCAGGCAGAAGCCTTGTAGTTCCCATCTGATGTTCTAGATGGATCCCATTTCCTCCGATAGTTGGTGTCACGGTGATCTGGGCCAACGTGAGGAAAGAACCAGAACCTGAGCTCACTATTTAGAGTCTCATTTTCTACCATCTGCATGTTTTACAAATTGCAGTTGTTTGACTCGAATGCAAAGATCTCAAGGGATGGGCAGGGTGGAGAGAGAAATGCAGGTTGATTTATTCATTTCCTTCCTAAAAATAGAAAGATGTATTTTGTCTACTAGGAGCAAACATTTCCGAGAGGCTGAAGAGGGAGGGTCATCAGCTGTAGGGCAAGGATAAAGGTGGGCGGGGGCTGCAGTTTGGGCCTCCTCCAACTGCAGGCTCTCTGCAGCTTGTGCTAGGTGCAGAGGGCTGGAAATGGGAAGGGACTGCTGGAAGAGCCACTCGCACAGAGATAATCGGGGTGTGAGCCCAAGTCCTGGCTAGAAGCCTGCATGACGTGCTCTCTCTGGAGCCAGCAGCCCAGCCCAGCATGGGTGTCATGTCCCCACCAGCCTTCCTTACCCTGCTCTCCCCTGAACTCATGAACTGTGCAGAGGTGACAAACCTAGAGCTGAAGGAAGGACTAGGCAGAGTCCTCTGATGAGACTTGCTGTCAACCATGGCTCCCTATTCAATTCAGCACATGCTCTTTGAGAGCCTTCTACTGAAGACTCCCTAGGCTAGGCACCATGCCTGTCCACAACGGGCTACGGTCGTGTTCCCCAGTCGATTGATCCTCCATGTCCATTTGGTCAGTGTGGTCATGAGCAGCATTGCTCCGGCTGTTAGGGGTAGGAAGTGTTGATTGACGTGTGTGCACGGGTGCCTCTGTGGTGTGCCTGTGTCTTGCCCTTTGTGAGTATGCATGAGTGTGCGTGCATATGAGTGTGTGCATGCTGGGGAGTGATTGGAAAATGTTCCCAGAAAGTGTTGTTTGGGGTCTACTCTGACCCAGTTTCAGGCCTCTTGCCCACCTCTTTCTCCCTTCTCCCTGTTGCTGTTAACGTAGTAGTGTGACTGTCACTTTAACTGTCCCCTGTCCTGTGATTTCCCGGGGCTTCTCCCCTGCAGAAGCAACAAGGGCCGGGACATCAAGACCATCAAGTCCCTGCGGGTGCTGCGTGTGCTGAGACCGCTCAAGACCATCAAGCGCCTGCCCAAGCTCAAGGTAACGTTCGCCAGTTTCTTCCCATCAGCTCCCCTTCCTCTAGAGAGAGACGCCTAGGTGGCCTGCTTTTGGAGAATTATTTCTGGGGATATTCTTTTTGCTCACACAGAGACTGAGATTCTTTTCATCTGCTTGAACTAAGGGTCTGAGTTTCAAAGGAAAATAACCAATATCCTAAAAAATCTGTCTCTAAGGACTTTTGCCCCACCCTCTGTGGGAAGTCATAGGAAGAACCCTGTGTGGCTTTATCCTGGAGCCTCCTGTGTCATTAAGGTGGGTCAGACACCACAATGGAAGGAGCATGAGCCCTGCGTGTTGTGGTCCACATACTACGTCAGACCAAGTCACCTGGGCTGGTTTCTTTCCTCATGATTCTAGAGAAAGAAAGAATCTTGTAGCCCTGACCCTTCATATCTTAGAGGCCAATAACTTGCCCAAGGACACAGAGTCATTTTTGGCACAAGCAGAGAAGAAATGGGGAAGTGAGCTCACACAACTAAGTTCTCCCTGTTGCCAGGACCTGTGTCTTCATAGGTCTATTATCTGGGTTCTCCTGCCCTCTGACCTGCTCACCCACCCTGAGCTCCTTCCCTGAGCCTTCCTGCCCTTAGGTTGCTGGCTTGTGGAACCCGCCTCTCCCACACTGATCCCTTGCTGTTATGGAAGCTGAAGCCTCATGGGAGAAAAGTTTTTCCTTCCTGAATTCCTGCGAATGAGAGCCAGCCACCACCAGGGAGGGAACAAGGGACTCCCCTGCTCCCCAGTTCCTCTTTCCCATTGGGTTTGCCTCACCTCTGATATTCCCCACCAGTCCCTCCACCGCCACCCCAACTGCTTCCCTTTCAGCCCTCTGGCTCTGCAGAGAGGTGTTAAACCAACCAGGTTGATCAAAGGCTTAAGACCACAGGAAGGCCTTTTTGGAAGACCCCCTAACTGGCTGAAACATGGCTTCCTCTCAGAGCCCAGGGCCCTGGCCTCCTGCGTGGATTCCCGAGGAGAGGTACTCGTGCTCCAAAGGAAGTGTCCTCACTGCCTGCTCTCCTCCTCCACTGCCCTGCCTTCCCTCCTGGATCAGGCACCTCCCACGGTATCAGGAAATCTTTCACACGCTGTTCATTATAACCCTCCACCTGGTGACAGGCCCCAGCACAGCGCCTGGCCGGGGTCAGTGCCTGTGAACATTCATTCCTTTCTGCCTCACCCCCAGAAAAATTTGGCCGGGAGGCCTGGGGCCCTAACCAATGTTGTTAGCTGCAGCCCAGGTCCACTGGTCTCCTCCTCTGAGCTATGTTGGGGTCCTGAGAAGGGCTTGGACAGGATGATGAGATTAATTAACAGGCTGAAGAAGGCGACCCAACCTTGGTTAATTCCAACTAATTAGGAAGGGCTGGCTCTTTGCTCTGCAGCTCCATAACCTGAGGGAAATGTAGGTGGATCTGATAATTCCACGAGGCTGCGTGTCACTCACATTCCCTGCAGTGCTGAACTAATTAAACCAGCAGTGTTCACCCAGCGCTGTGAAGAGGTAACTGCTCAAATGCAGCACCACTGTGGGGCTAGACTCTTCAGTGAGCTAAACCTACAAACCTAGAAAATAACCTAAAAATGGTTTGAAATGTGTTGAATTCCCATGTAACTATTCATGGCTTAGGGCCTACAATGGATTCTTCAGAGGGAGATTCACTGCCTTGAACTGAAGTGCAAGTTCCTGATTCTGTCCATCTGATCCTCCCATCTCTAAGAGAGGGTGGCTCTTACCCCTTCCCACATCACCTGTTGAATCTTCATCCCCAGCACAGCCAGCTTTAAACTAGAGAACATTTACGTGAAGTGTGGAATGTAATTGGGGTAAATGTGTGAACTTATTACAAAATATCATTAAAATGAACAAAGATGAGAGTTTATTATCACTCCCTGATCTCTTTAGAAAGGCTAAGAGAAAACAATACATATTCAGTATATAAGTCAAATCTAAGAACGTGCCCCAAATAGATGAAGTTACGGATAAGCTATTTAACGCCTAAAACAGGCTAAATGATTTCAAGGATCCCTTTTCTGGAATAAATTTCTGTTTCACACTAAGCGGAGTGCATGTAATAGGATTCCACAAAGGACTCCCTCCACTGCCTGATACCATCTTGGTCTCTACTGCTTTGGGTTTCCTTTCAGATTCAGAACATGTGTTCCCCTCCTAAATTATAGGTTCCTACAGTCATGACCAGCTTAGAAAACAGGTCCGAATCCCATGAGTGTCACTTCTTCCTAGGGTGATATCTCCTAGGGCACCTTCTCTGTGGGCTGGCTGGTGGTAGTGTGGGTCCAACTCAGCTGTAGGCAAATACACAGGCCATTTCAGGGATTCACACACCAGGGCTCTTTTTTCTGTTCACAGGCTGTCTTCGACTGTGTGGTCACCTCCTTGAAAAATGTCTTCAACATACTAATTGTCTATAAGCTCTTCATGTTCATCTTTGCTGTCATCGCAGTTCAGCTTTTCAAGGGCAAGTTCTTCTATTGCACAGACAGTTCCAAGGACACAGAGAAGGAGTGCATGTAAGCGCCACCAGCACATACCACTCACTTTCTGCTAAAGCGTATTCTGCCAGGGTCCACACAACCCTTTACAGATAGGTCTTTTCTTTCCCCCTTTCTTAAATCCATTCTTCTTCTGGGAAAAAAGGCAAAATAAGAAGTTGCCACATTTTGAGTGAGTACCTCTTTTGTCTCAGACATGGAACATAGCATTTTGCATCAGGTTTTAATTTTAAATCTTTCTCATGACCTTTTGAGATAGGTTTTATTTGCACATTATAGGTGTGGAAGCCTAGGCACAGAAAGTTTAAGGAAGTTGCTCAAGGTTATACAGTGACTAGTGAAAGGATTAGGATTTAATCTTCCATGTCTGTTGGGCACCAAATCTCATTTTTATTCCATGATAATACACTGCCTTAATAAAATCCCCTCTTGCTTGCGTTTGAATGCTGATAATGACTACTGTACATTATCAAAATCCCTAGAATTTCTTTGCTCTTCCATGAGCTATAGTGAAGAGGTTCTGGTTCACTTCTGCTCTGGTTTTAGAGGAAACTATGTAGATCACGAGAAAAACAAGATGGAGGTGAAAGGCCGAGAATGGAAGCGCCATGAATTCCACTATGACAACATCATCTGGGCCCTGCTGACCCTCTTCACCGTCTCCACAGGGGAAGGATGGCCTCAGTGAGTGATGGGTTTGGCTTGGCATGCTTGTCTGTGAGCTGGGCTAGGGCCATGTGTTTGCCTTGAGAAGTTGATTAGAGATAAACAAGGCTAACCCTTTGTTATTGTACCAAGGAAAGTAAGTGGTTATGAGTAGGTAAGACGGGCAGGAGAGAGGAAGAATGAAAATCCTTCAGGCGGGAATCAGGAGGGAGCTGACGAAGTCCGGGAAATATTTGAAACACAGTGTTTCAGCCCATGATCAAGGAGTTGAATAGAGCCGTCTGATTCCTACAGAACAAATGAGTTTTGAACAGCTCTCCGCACCGTAGGAGAGTCCCTGAGGACTCTTAGACAGATTGATCCTCCGAGTTGGCCCTGGACATGAGGGTCAAGGGTTAAGGATGTGGTGGCAGAACCCAGAGATGCTTTCTGTGGTCATACCTCACATGTCAAAGACAACAGAATGCAGTTTTTATGCTGCTCGTAGCTGCAGGCTTATTTTTTCAGAGACTTGGCGGTAGCCAAGACACCACTTTCTGGTGGCAGCAAAACGCCAAAGGGAAATTCAGGAGTCTCTTGGTATTTTATGACAACCTCAACTATAAAGTAATGTCACTCTGGTGTTTAGGAGTTGGATGCGTGATGGCACCGGGGCTAGAAAGAGCAGTGGATTGGGGGTCCGCCAGCTTGGTTGTGGAGCCCCAAATTCACGGAGGATCCACCAAGTTTAAAAAGTCAGATAAGAAAATACAGTAGATGGTACATCTGCTAATGAAGCCTTGAGTCACAGCAGCTTCCAAGATCGCCGTCCACCATCCGTGCCCTCTTGTTATGTCCCCAGAGTTTTGCAGCATTCTGTCGATGTGACAGAGGAAGACCGAGGCCCGAGCCGCAGCAACCGCATGGAGATGTCCATCTTTTACGTGGTCTACTTTGTGGTCTTTCCTTTCTTCTTCGTCAACATCTTTGTGGCTCTCATCATCATCACCTTCCAGGAGCAAGGGGACAAGATGATGGAGGAGTGCAGCCTGGAGAAGAACGAGGTGAAACGAGGGGTCTGGAGTGTAGGGCCAGGGGGCGCTTTGGAAAGGACTCTCAGACCAGCAGTGTTAGGAGGAAGACAGAATGCTCTCCATTTTGTTGTGAATTAGAGAGAGAATTGGGGGGAAATGCATTAGCCAGTCATTAAATAAATGTTTTTGGAGTATCCGCTCTGTTTAAAGCCCAGGTATGAGACACAGAGAACTGGGAGGGATGTAAGGTGTTTAAGATGCAGCCCCTGCGTTTATGTGGCGCATCTTCTGGAGGTGGGGGTGAAAGACGTGTGCCAACGTTATAACGTTGACATGTCTGCTTCCCTTCCTGCGTCCCTCAATGGTGTATATTTGCTGTAAGGGCAGGGAACCTGTCTAACTTATTACTGCTTTTGTAGTAACAAGCGTAGTTCTGACACATTGTCGGGTCCATTGTTTTTATCCTGGAACTGAACTAGAAATTGTTAGTCCATAAGAGAAATGCAAATAAAGTGCTATGGGAATGCACAGGAAGATAGATTTTTACTTCTGACTGTGAGCTTCCTGCCCAAATATCTAAGTCTTGTGCTGTGTAAAAGGGCATTATTAATAACCGTCAAGTCCTTACCGCGTGGGACCGAACCCTTCTAGTTCTGTGTATTCATTTAAGGTGACATCTCACCTGTAGCTCTGTCCAGATAATTTCTTTTGCTGCTTTTACCTCTGCTTGCCCAGCCCTAGCCTCTTCTCACACACTGTCCTCTTCTTCTAACCGTCTAACAGAGAGCTCACCAGTGTGCGAGGTTTAGGGAATCTGAGCTTGGCTAATCAGTGTGACTCTCCTGCAGAGGGCGTGCATCGACTTCGCCATCAGTGCCAAACCACTCACCCGCTACATGCCCCAGAACAGGCACACCTTCCAGTACCGCGTCTGGCACTTTGTGGTGTCTCCATCCTTTGAGTACACCATCATGGCCATGATCGCCCTGAACACTGTCGTGCTGATGATGAAGGTGAGAAGGTGGTGGCTGGGAGGCACTCGGGCAGGCTGAGCCTCGGCAACTGTCCCCTCGCAGAGCACTTGTGTGTGTGCCCGAGACACTGAGAAAACACTCCAGCTTACCAGTCTGTTGCCTCCTTACCTACTTTTCTTTTTTTTTTTTTTTTTTTTTTTTTGCGGTACGCGGGCCTCTCACTGCTGTGGCCTCTCCCGTTGCGGAGCACAGGCTCTGGACGCGCAGGCTCAGTGGCCATGGCTCACGGGCCCAGCCGCTCTGCAGCATGTGGGATCTTCCCGGACCGGGGCACGAACCCGTGTCCCCTGCATCGGCAAGGCGGACTCTCAACCACTGCGCCACCAGGGAAGCCCTGTTACCTACTTTTCCATCGTGGAATTTCTCTTTCATCTTGTCTCCATCCACAGCCCAGCCTTTGGGTCTTTGGGGCAAAATGCAGTGAAATATATAGTAGCAGTCCAGGAACTCTGAAAGCAAAGGTTGGTGATGGCAATCAGATGCAGACAAGGGTGGAGATGTCAGGAGATGTAGATGATCATGGGGTTCTAAAAGAGTGTTGGAAGAGGTTTTTAATACTAAATGGTAAAGTAATTAACTCTAGGAAATGTTTCTGCCCTTCTCACCTTCAACTCTAGGAAGACTGGCCATTTTGCTAATAAGACCCGTGTTTTCCTCTGTTTTGTTTTGCTACATAGGACGTGCGCTTCTCCTCTCTAGCCCTAGATGACACCAGAATGTCCCCCAAGGGCAGGGACGCGAGATGGCCAGCCTCTCTCATGGACCCTCTCACCTTTAGGGGTTTGATTCTTTCCTCTTTTCTCTTCCCGGCAGTACTACTCTGCTCCCTGTACCTATGAACTGGCCCTGAAGTACCTGAATATCGCCTTCACCATGGTGTTCTCCCTGGAATGTGTCCTGAAGATCATTGCGTTTGGCTTCTTGGTACGTCATGGAATTTATCCCGGCACCATTCTTGTCTTCCCTTCTCTTTGGGTACATTGCCAGCCTTTGTTGGAAGGGAGGGCGGTCACCGCTATTCCAGAAAGGGTTCACACACCTGCCCACCTAATTGTGGGCTTGTTTCGACTGCTTAAAAAAACTGCCGTAGAGACAGGATGATGTGTGAGGGTGTTAGGAGAAAAGACAAAGAGAACCAGATCCCCAGCTCCTACCTCTAGCTATCAGCTCTGTTCTCGTCAAAGTCTGTCAGTTGTCAAGGGGCGACAGTCGTTGAGTCTTACTAGAACTTAGTAAGATTGATCTGTCAGGAAGAGCAAAACAAGGACTGGACTAATAAACCTGAGTGCTTATTTACTGGTGAAAGGTTTAAAATCTTATAACTCAAATGGGAACATATCTGTCCCGCTTAGCCTCAAACATAGCAAATAATAGATTTTACCTAGTAGTCCTCCTCCCTTTAGTTACCTGAAGAGTAATTTCTGCCACTAAAAATAAATGTTTAGCACTTAAGCTTCCAAAGGCTAATGGCCTTTAAAGTGTGTGTATGAGAGAGAGAGAAAGAGAGAGAGTGAGCAAGTGTGGGGTCGGGGGGGCAGTTTCTGGAATTGGTTTGGGGAGGGTTGGGTTGAGTTTTTCTGGCATGAGTTCTCCTTTTACTTCTCCTCAACTACTGATTATAGTTGTTTGGCAGATTTTCGCATCTACCATCAAGGGTGTGCAGCAAACCTAGCCCTTCACTTCAGTGTCCTGTAAACAAAATAATCCCCTCTGCCACCCTTGCCTCAGTGTTTACAGTGAGATCAGTGGGCTGCAGATAAACCCACCCGACAGCTGCTTCACACTTACTTTGCGTGTGAGCTACCGTTTCAAATTATATGTGTATGGCTTTCCCTGCAAGAAGAGAAACTCAGCTGATTATCTGAATATATGTTTGTCTGGTGGCAGCTTGAACAGGGACTCTGGCCTCGGCTTGATGGTTGTGAGTGTTGACGGTGGCGATTGCTTCTGGTTTCCTGGTGGTTCTTTGAAAAGTCATTGATTTGATGGTTTGGGGAGGAGAGTTGAAGGGAACCCATTGCAGGTGGCTGTATTGTTGGTTGCTTGACTCCCTTTTGAGTCTTGGAGAAATAAAGAAAAGTAAACTACCAGCAACAAAGATGCCATTATAATACAGTCTGGCCCTGGGCGGGAGGAGAAGGGGGTGGGGGAAGCCTGTGTAAAAACAGGGCAAGTTTTTCCCTGCATCTTGATTATTTGCATGTTGGATTGACGTCGTCTGTGACTTAAGTCCCCAATTCTGTGTCAAATTATGGTGAATGCCGAATACATGCTTACAGGCTTAACTAGATGATTCAGCCCCAAAGCCTGCCTCCTTCCCACCTTCAGCCCCGTATTTTCATTCAAGGTCTAGAAGCATTCTCACACTATAAAAGGCACCACTAGTCCCGAATAAGTCTTTTCATTGATATAGTACTGTAGATTTTCAGAACGCCCTAATATATACTGTTTTTGTCAGATCTTCTCGATGACTCTGAAATAGGCATGGCAGAAGCTGTGATTATCGTTGTTGTTATTTTAAATGAGGAAATTGAAGGTCAGAAAAATTGTGTCGCTCTTTGAAGATTACAGAATAAAAGGCAGTAGAATTGGAAAGTGGAGTGGGAATAGAAAAGGAAGGAAGAGGAAAAAGAAAGAGGGAGAGAATTGACATACATTGGTTGTCTACTAAGTACCAAAAGCTTTATGTATTATCCATTTTAGCTTCATAAGAACTCTATTAGATGGCCATTATGGTTTTCTTCTTATACGGATGAGCTAGGGCTCAAGAAGATTCAGTACTTTGCACAAGGTTACTGAAAGGCAGAGCCAGTGTTCAGATCCTGGTCTCTCTGGCTTCAAAGCCCACACTTTGTCCACCGTAATCTACTAGTCTGTACTATGTTATGCTGTGCTCTACCATACTGTATTGTAAGGCCTCCTCTACTGGAATCTAGGGCTTCTGTCCCCTGAGAGCTAGTTTTATATTCTAGCTCTCATATAGGGACCTAACCAAGAATTAGGAAGCTCGCCCCGGGTTGGTAATAGGAGAGCACTGAGAATTGAGGAACTCAGAGACTCAACTTGACCCCACTCCTGAGGTAGTCATCCTTAGCAGCAGTGAGTTTTTGAGTCTGTGTACTTAGTTTCTGTACATGCCTGGCAGGTGCCTGTGACTTTGGAATCAGACGGGCCTCTCTAAGCCTCAGTTTTCTCATTCATAAAAGGAGGATAACGATAGCTGCCATTAGCCTTAGATACTGTGTGTGTGTCCCGTGAGGGAATATACCTAAGGTGGCAGGTCCTGAGTAGGTGCTCATAAACGTACCTTCTCTCTCCCCAGAACATTTCTCTCTTTATCGCGTATCTCTACCCATTCTTCTTGCTAGCCCTACCACTCAGTAATTTATGAGGTATTTATCACTACCTACTTACAGCATCCATGGGAGGAATAAATGAACTGAAAGAATGCCAAGGGAGGACCTGGCACAAAATCTGGCATGTGTAGCAAGGATTCATGAATGCCAGTTGTGGGGATGGAAGAGGGTGTATTTTGCAGTGCTCTGAGGGTCTCCTACGGGAAGCGCCACCCAAGGGCAAGTGGGTAACGTCTTGGAGTCCCAAGCGTTTTGTTTCTTTTAAGAAATATAGTCCAAGGTCTGTTTTCACCGGAGCACTGGAGATGGGAGCAGAGCCCACTTTCTCTATTAAGCTTAACGTTGGCTGGCTGGTGCATTATCCGGGTCCTTTACTTCTTCGTGTCCTTTAACCCACTCATTCTGTTGCTGCTTCCTGGTATTGTATTTAGTTACACCTCCTCGAAAGGTGTAACGGGGCAGGGAAACGGGGGAAAGATGAGTTTGTTCATCCCATTGCCAATCGGCAGTTGGTGTGAAAAGGCTCAGTGGAGTTAGGAAGCGATTTTTGACACATCTTTGATTTTTAGTCACTTAGGACATCTCTGTGACTTTTATTGTTAGTTGAAAGTCAGAACTGTATATTTATAGGGTCACTTGATGCTATATAAATAATAATTTACAAGTTATAGAAAACCTTGGAGTGATACTGTAAATAATTTTATTGTCTTGTAGGTGACAATTATGATCTTTCATTTTTGGACATCAAAATGTTCTAGGCCCCAGATCTCTTTCTTACATATTTTTATGTAATATTACATGAAAAAATCTTACACTTTTTTTGATGTAGCTCTTTAGTGACAGCTTCAAAAACAAGGTCTCCAAATAGTGATGAAACTGCTTCCCAAATGAGAAACTCTCAAACTAGTGAAGGAAAAACAGCATTTTTGGTTAGAAATAGGAAACTAAAGCCAAAGTTAGAATGAACTTGTCCTGGAATTGACGAGTTTTAATTCCAAGTGACAAAGTTATGTCATGAAAGATGTCTTTTTTTCCATTTTCTCCCGTGTTTTCTTTTCCTTTTTTTCCCGGATGCTCCCGTGGCTGAATTCACTGGGCAGAACTATTTCCGAGACACCTGGAATATCTTTGATTTCATCACAGTGATCGGCAGTATCACAGAAATTATTCTGACAGACAGCAAGGTGAGTGGCTCCTTGGTCCTTCTCTTTAGGCTTGGCCCTGGGGTTGCATTAAAAAAAAATTCTCTGCACATTGTCCATTTTTAACTCCACAAGTCCAATGTGCAGCCCCCTGTTCACTTCCTCATTCCTGAGCTTTTGCCAGAAAATGGGAACATCGGATGGCGCTGGATCTCATGGAAGGCTTGGTCCCATTTGCACGACTCAGATAGCAGCCATCCGATGGGGGTGAATGGGATAGAGGGCCCAGGAGAGGCCGAGTGTGCACAGTGTCCTGCTAGATTCTTTGAGAGACACAAAAGAGGCACAGGGTCTTCGCCCTCAGACTTGTTAGACCTGAACTGTTTCCCTGAAATGGTTCACCCTAAGGAAAACTTGGAGAGCTCATCACAAGTCTTTGAATATTGGAGGGCCATCATGTGCAAGAGAGATTGTTAGGTCTGCCCTCTGGCATCCGAGTGCAGAGTTAGGACTACTTAGAGAAGACTGGGGAGGCCAGTTTTGTCAGTTGTATGTGGGGCATCCATCTGTGGTACTTCCATGCCTGCCTTCTGGGAATAGAGGGCAGGCCTGGGGAGGCTCTGAGAGATGGTCCCCACTGGCCCATCAGCTGAAAATGGGGTTAAAAACAAAAGACAGCATCCATGTTCCATTCTATGATCTGAATGAGAGAGAAATACACAAATACCAGTGCTTAGATGTTCTAAATGACCATAATGTCACTAATGATATGTTTCCTTTTGATCCACCAGCTGGTGAACACCAGTGGCTTCAATATGAGCTTTCTGAAGCTCTTCCGAGCCGCCCGCCTCATCAAGCTTCTGCGTCAAGGCTACACCATCCGTATTTTACTTTGGACCTTCGTGCAGTCCTTTAAGGTAAAGGGCACAAGCTCCTCCCCTCTGAGGGTTGCAGCGGCCCTGTCACATCAGACAGCACACCAGGCAACGCAGCACGATTCCACAAGTCCCCTCGCCTCTGGGGATGGGCGTTTGTCAGAAGCATTAGATAAACACAGCAGTTCTTAGTTACAACACAACTTGGCCAGGCAGCGGTTAGCTTATGACTGACTGGCTAGAATCTCATGCTAAAAAATCACCCCAACTTTGTAACTCAGTTACCTTCTCTGTCCACTGAGGCAGGGGGCTCGTTTTATGAGGTGTGCTCCCTCCCGAGGTATTTCAGTATGCCCTGGGCAATCCCATCCACGGACAGAGCCAGCCACCTGTAGTCACATATCCTCTGCATTTTTCAGGGATTCGTCCGTGGCTTTATTTCACAGAACGGTTTTTCAAAGGACTCCTTGAGTTGTGTTTTATAACAAGATGATTCATACCAGTCCCACCCGTGTCATCATTAGTGTATTTCCTGAACCACTGAATATATGCCATGCTAATAGTTACCTCTGCATCCCACAAACCCAGAGGGCACCTGAGCAAGGTTAATATGGTGAGAGCTTCTCCTGAATGCTCTCATGGAGCCATACAGAGATGTATATGTAATCAACAAGTTAAAAATTGATACCTGAGACCCACTATAATGGCAGAGGTTTCCAGTGAAAGAAGTTTTCCAAACATATTTCAATATCTTCAAGCTCTAGCAAATATAATTAGTTTGTTTTTCAGCTTTGGGGGACATCAACGCTGCTCAAAAGCCTACTATTTTCCTCCTATAAAAAAGAGTCTTTCAATGAATGTACTTTAAAAATGTGGTTGATGAAATTGACTCAAAGATGAAAAATCATGAATTTATTGAATTGCCTTCTTTATTTTAATTGTACATTTTAACTACAAATTGAACTAAAGAAAGCTTGTCAGTGAATTCATGGTTTCTTGTCACTTGAAAGGGACTTCGTGCCACACCATCATTACTGATTTACTTCTGGGGATCTGAGATGTGAGGCCAGTTGTAAGGACGCTCAGGGTCCCACAAGCAACCTTGACATTTTTATTGGATTCAGATAATTGTTTGGTGCTATGACTCCCAGAGAGGTGTCACCTCAATGAAAACTATTTCTCCAAAGCTCAGTGACAGAGGAGAAATTGAAAACCTTAGCAAGAATTTACCATTTGAGTCTCAGGTGGATCTGGATTTAGAATTTGAAACACAAGATGGTCTTAAAAGCTTTTTATAGAGGCCTGTGCAACAAGTTACAGTTGTTAGTGAGTCTCTTAAGAAATATGTGTCAGCCTGTCATACTCTCATGATCACTGATTCTCTGTCAAAGTGTATACTATTGAGGGCAAAGAAAAGCATGTCAAAAATTGATGACCAAATGGTTGGCGTATTCCAGTGAATAGAGAGAGAACAGTGAAGACAGCTGAATCTGCCTCCAGGTGACACTGTGATGGATGGTGCAGCCCTGGAACACAGTGTAGAAGTTGTTTTCTTGAAGCTGGTTTAACAAAGGCTGCCTCTGTGCATACACAGCAGAAAGTAACACTGTGTAAACAGTGTTGCCCCTGCCTCTACCTTCCCCAGCCCCACCCTGAGCATCACCCAGTTCTCCACCGCTGACCCCTACTCAGTTCTTCTCTCTTCCTTATTTTGTGTTGGAATTTACAACATGACAAGAAGAGAGGTCAGGATGACTCTTTGGTCCTCTCCTCAAAGCTGGGAGAGAAACCTGCCTCCCTACTCTTTCCTTTCAGCAGATGGTGTCTTCACATGCCCCCTCGGGATGTAGTCGCTCCTCACAGATCTTGAGAATCAGCACTCCACTGGAGAAGGGGTTCTCCCACCAACTCTCTATTGCATTTTAATTTATTTATTTATTTATTTATTTTTGGCTCGGGTCTTCGTTGCTGCGCGGGCTTTTCTCTAGTTGCGGTGAGCGGGGGCTACTGTTCGTTGCGATGCGCGGGCTTCTCATTGTCGTGGCTTATCTTGTTGCGGAGCACAGGCTCTAGGCTCACAGGCTTCAGTAGTTGTGGCACGTGGGCTCACAATTGTGGCTTGCGGGCTCTGGAGCGCAGGCTCAGTAGTTGTGGCGCACGGGCTTAGTTGCTCTGCGGCATGTGGGATCTTCCCACGTGCCAGGGCTTGAACCCGTGTCCCCTGCATTGTGAAGCAGATTCTTTACCACTGCGCCCCAGGGAAACCCCTCTATTGCATTTTTTTTTTTGCGGTACGCGGGCCTCTCACTGTTGTGGCCTCTCCCGTTGCGGAGCACAGGCTCCGGACGCGCAGGCTCAGCGGCCGTGGCTCACGGGCCCAGCCGCTCCGCGGCATGTGGGATCTTCCCGGACCGGGGCACGAACCCGCGTCCCCTGCATCGGCAGGCAGACTCTCAACCACTGTGCCACCAGGGAAGCCCTATTGCATTTTAATGTTATTCTTTATTCAAGTTGTAAAAGTCTCCCAGGGCTCTTCATTTAGTTAGCTCTGTTGATAAGCTCTGCCTGGTTCATGCAGTCTGAAAGCCTTCAGTTGCTCTCCGGGGAGTTATGCTGTACACACTCGAGAGAGGGTGGAGACTCGGAGTTGCACGAACTGGCAGGGAGGCTTCCTGGGTGGTAAAGAAGAGGGGCTTCCGTGTCAGCACGGAGATCAGCCCAGAATTATAATGCCCACCCTGGCCTCCAAACCAGACTGCCCTATGTCTCCATCCTCCCCCAGCCACCAGGGGCAGTTCCCGGCCTTCTGTCTCTTGCACTCGCCCTTTCACCCCCATCAGTAAAGTGTTGTCACCCCAGAGTGGCAGTTAGCTGGCACAGTGTGGAATTTTGTGCCATGTGGCTTCATGGCAGGGTTTTGTGATGGCTCACGCTTTGAAAGCCTTTTTGGAATTTTGCGTGACACAGAATGAAAGGTCAGGACGCTTAAACATTGGAAAAAGATGTTTCATCAGAGCTTGAAGGAGCCTGCTAGGAACTGACCGGCAACTGAGACCCCAGCCATTTCATTTTGCTTCCAAATGCTCCGTTATGAACCTCACATTGAGCGAGGGTTGGGAAGGGTAATACAGGGGTTTGGGAGCCAAAGCTAAATGCTTGCTGTGTAATTTGCATCACAACTGCCCAGGTTATTAATATTCTGCATACGGAGTGGGATGAATCCCAATCCCAAGAAGTTTTCCTAGCTCTCTCTTGGATATATGGGCCACACACTTGTGGGTCAGGGAATATTCTCGACAGAGGGGAAATTACAAGCCTCTCTGGGGCCACCAGCTTACATATCTGTCAGAGGATATGGACATCTGCAAAAGTACGGAATCCCAAAATAGAACATCCGGGTGAATAGAGAGCCCCAGCCCTGTGTTTTAAGTCAGTCTCAGGACAAGAGTTCCTGTCTGCCCGTGCTGCAGGTGACCCTGGAGCTGCCTGCCTTTAAATTCATGGTCGTGTCTCTGCTTTCTTTCCAGGCCCTCCCCTACGTCTGCCTTCTGATTGCCATGCTTTTCTTCATCTATGCCATCATTGGGATGCAGGTGAGAGAGGGTGCATCAGGGCTCTGGTGGGGGACAGTTGTTGCCCAGGTTGTCTCTGGCTTTCTAGCCTGAGCCTACAGGATTGAGGTCCTTTCAAGAATCCCTTCTTGCCCTGAGGCTCGCTCCCAGGATCGTGTTGCAATATGACCTTGGGAATTCACGTGTGCAGGGTTCCCCACTCGGGTTGCCCAGATGGTCAGGGTGGTCTGATACAGGGGCTTCCTCTGAGGTCGTCAGGTCATGGTGCTGCCTCATAAGCAGCTGGACTCCAGTGAAGATGACACCGCTGTTCTTAGCCAGAGGGGTTCCCCCCACGAGACTAAGGATAGGGTAGGGCTCGTGATGATCCGTATCTCAGGACCCTCCCATATTTGAGCCAGACCTAAAAGAAGGTCAGGTGGTTGTTCTTCTGCAGACAGCAGCACAAAATGTATGCGAGTTACATCCCACATGGCTGAGATTGATGCCCTAAGACCCACCACTGGGAACAGCTCAGAGTTCCTGGCAGTGTGCCCAGTCCTCAGGAAACCCAAGGGCCACATCCCGGCTGATGCCTGTCAAAGGACCACGCAGCTCGCTGGATGGTTCTCCTTGGTTACCACATCCTTTCCAGTTTCGGAATTGAGAAGTGGATGAGGTTCCCACCCAGGGTACTTAGGCAGGTAACCAGGAACCCACTGAGCAGAAGAGGCCAAAAGATCTTTCAAAGGCAGCTGTCATTTGTGGTGGGTGAACTCCTACCGTAAACAGCCAGCAGCACATCCCATGCACCTGTCTAGTTGGATACACAGGCTCTCTGCTGGGCTCCGAGAGGCTGATTTTCTGACTTGGAGATTTGGAGACTAAACCCCAGCGTAGGACCTCAGCCAAGTGGGAGTCTCTGCAGTCAGGTGGTCTGGCTGCCTTTGAACGGCCAGCTGCCTTCTCAGTGGTGGCTGCCACCTGGAGCCACTGCACGCATCCCCCAGGCTTGACGTGTCAGCAGCCCTTTCGAGCGCTTCTCTGAAATGTCTTCTTTTTGTTCCTCTCTCTTGCCTGCACTTCCAAACAATAGAATGTCAAGTGTCAAAAACTGTGAGGTTTGGTTGAAAAGTAATGAGTTCTCCTTCACGGAGGATATTTTGGTAGAGCTTTAATGATGATGTCAGAAGTGGGTGCAAGCTGAATCCCAGCTGAAGTGGAAGATTGGCTTGATGACTTCTATTAAGTCCATCCAAACTCTCAAATATTTGATTCTAGAATTAAAATGTTCTTGAACGGCCAAATGAAACTTGATTAAATTAGGGTTCTTTTTTTTTTTTTTTTTTGGTCCATGCTTAAAATAGTTCTTATCCCCTTTTCATCTTCCAGCAAAATAAACTAGAATAACACCATCTCTAATATTAACCCGTTAGTAATACTACTGATGATGATAATACCGTTTACCATCACTTGAATTCCTGAGTGTTCCAGACACTGTGCTACATAGATATTCTTACCCATTCCTGCCTCCCTTTCTCTCCCTCCTTTTCTCTCTCTCCCCGCAAATATATATATTACACACACACACACACACACACACACACACACACACACACACACACACACACACACACACACACACACACACACACACACACACCCCACAAGATACATGACTGATGTATTCAGGAGTGATGTGAAAATGTTTATATGTGGGTTTCATTGTCTCCACTGTTGCTTAGCATGGCTAATAACTTGTAACACACTCAAGATCTCAGATAGTAAGTGGGAGAGCTGAGTTTAAATCTCAGCTCTGTCTGCTCTGCAGCCCCTGTTCCTACTGGACTGCAAGTTCTCTGCACTGTCTCTCCTCCCACCAACAAGCAAATACAAGTATTTCTCTGACCCTTTAGTGGGAGATAGGAGTTCTTCAGTTGTGAAATTGCAATATTTACAATAACCACAATGGGTAATCATTTATTGCCCTTAGACTTATTTCCAAAAAATAAGATCACTTCTTCCATTCCACCAAGACATGAATGCCATTCCCACTGTGACTTACCTTTAGCTGGCCATCTTCATCCTGTCCCGTGACGGAGACCCCACACCACACACAAAGAAGACACCTAGCTTGTACCTAGAAAGGCTGTGTCTCATACAGTCATAACAAAGCAGAGGGATCCGTACAAACAGAAAAGCAAAAGGAAAGTAGACAAGCATTGGAAAGAGAACTAGCAATAGGAGGTATCTGTGAGAAGCACCATTATTCTGAACTTTCAAGGGCTTCTTAGAAGAAGAGAGCTTTGCGGAGAAATCTGAAGATGGAAGGAAGGAGTAACTTGCTGGGTTTGGGAGAGTCCTGGGGCTACAGGCTTCCAGCCTCAGTTCCACCACTGACCAGCTGTGCAAACTTGGTCAAGTCACTGAAACTCTCTGGGCCTTAACCCCATCACCGGTGCAGTAGAGGAGTTGGATAGATAGCTTTACAGGTTCCTTCTAGTTCTAAAGTTCTGTAATCCCAAGTGAAGCAGATTTAAGCCTATACTTTCATTAAGCGTTCCGGTGGGTCTCATCAAACCTTTCTCTTCCATAGCCTTTCCTTTTGATGTAGGAGATTTGGGTTACTGACAAGGACTAAGTGAAAAGCTTTTTCAAAAGGTGGAAAAATTTAAACACCACCTTCATTGTAAATATACATTATTGGCTTGACAGTAGTTCCTTGACTATTACACACATAACTTTTGTAAACTCACAGTGTGCCCTCCAGCTAGTTCACGATTGGGTAAGGTATTCGAGAATATCGTAAAGGGGACAACGAATAATGGCTTCAGGAGTGTCACAGGGAGGAAATACACTGTAAGTTGTGTGCGTGTGATGAATCAGGCATAAACTATGGATTTTGAGTTAAATAGGTGTAAAGAAAGACAGAAGGGGATGTGAACATGGGCAAGGATATATGGCGGTTTCCTCCTGGGGCATCCAGAACTAGGTTTGATTGTTTGAGTGGGATTTTTTTCAGTGCTACTATTTGTCTGACTGGGGGCCCTCAGCCTTATCTCCCTCCTTCCCTTCCTCCCCAGCACTGCCTAGCTTGCCACCTCCATTCTCCCTGAGAGACAAGTAGTATTTAGGTTTTGAAAATCAGCGTTGAGAACAAATTCCCCAAGCAGGTGTCAGTGGGAGCTATTTGAGCAAAATAGCAGAGACTGTTCTTAATTGCACATTCTAGACACTGTTGGGGGGGGGGGGGGGGGAAATGTGTTCCATTTAGCACGTATTAGGTAAACTGAAGCATGTTAAATACAGGCTGAATATAATCTCAAAAGGCCGGAAAAGTGACCTGTAAGCCTTCGGTTGTACAGACATTGCCTCGTGAGAGTAGATCCTGAGATCTGAATCATGTCTGGGGAGGAAAGTACACGTGTAAGGGCACCCTTCCCATCTGGAGAGACATGGGGTCGACCTTGGCTCCAGACAGCACTGTGTCTGAGAGCTCATCATTATTCACTGTAGATAAAGATCTCTGACTTTTCCCTCTTTTTTTTCACATGAAGTTACACAGTGACCTCATTCTAAGCCCAGAGACCCACAGCAGATTAGTAAACTCACTCTGTAGCCAGATCTGCCCCAATCCATTTTCTTTTTCCTTTTCCAAGTATCCAGTTTTGCAGACTGTCTTCATCCTATTGGCCTGGAGTTGGTGTGTGTTCATTCTCATGGACTCTGGGTTATAGCTGTATCACACTTCTGAGATGTGACTCTTCAGATGGGAACATATCCAAGGAAGATAGAGATACCCCTCTCTGACTTAAACTGCTTGCAAATTCCAGGACAACATCTGCCTATTTATCCTTTGTAAGGGATAAATCACATCTTCTGCAAATGCAAGTGTTCTCATCATTACCAGCTGAGACAGGAAGAGGGGAGGGGTAACTCGTTCCCTGCATGCCTATTATAGGGTAATGTCTTTGACAGACTTCTTGAGTACCATAGTGAGTAGGTATCACAGAAATAAAAAGACCAAATTAGGTGTGGGAGGAACTACATCTAAGCAGAATGGCTTTCAAAGATCTTGCCTTCTGCGGTCCTTGCAAGCATTCATCCTCTTTGCGTCACTGGAGAATATAACTCTTCCCGCATATCAGGCCAAGCACGTGGGGGTCTACCAGCCTTCCTGGGTTTTGAGTTGTCTGCTTCATGGTTAGGCCAGTGGGAGAAGCCACGCATGTGAATTCACCAAGCCTGCAGGTACATCTAATATCCTGCACTGGACACATCCCACCGCTCAATAATGCTCAGGGCTTTCTGTTGTTTTTCTCATCCAGGTCTTTGGAAACATAAAATTAGATGAGGAGAGTCACATCAACCGGCACAACAACTTCCGGAGTTTCTTTGGGTCCCTCATGCTACTCTTCAGGTACCTGGATCCGTAACTGTGGTGGCTGGAGCTCTCCTGCGAGAGAGAAACAGTCGGCCTGCCTCTTCCGCCCGTTCCCCTTTGTCTCTGCTCACAGGATAGACAGTGAGATGAGGGCGGAAGCAGGGGCAGCATGTCCGAAAAACTGCTCCGATGACTTGACTTTAGAACGTTTCCTCCACATCTTTGACTCAGTAGTCAATTTGCAAAATGCAGTTTCAGCACATCCTCCAGGGCTTTGAGAAGGGGAAGGTGAGGGTGGATTGCAGGCCAGATTCCATTTAAGGGCTGAAACCACGGATGACCAGGTTTACGTGGGGTCTTAGAGAGTCCCACTGCCCTCTCTACCACTGTCAACAGAAGATGGAGAGGCAGTGGGTGAGGTGGCAGAGCCCAGGAGAGACCTCACTGGTACTCTCCATCGCACTCGAAGGAGGCTGAGCATAAGAGGAACCTAGATGAGTGAGTCGGGAAGAGTGCTGAGGAGAGGTTAGGACACGCAGACCTGCTGCTACTAACCGAGTTGTCTTTTGGGCTCAGGAGTGCCACGGGTGAGGCCTGGCAGGAGATAATGCTGTCGTGCCTCGGGGAGAAGGGCTGTGAGCCTGACACCACCGCACCCTCAGGGCAGAGCGAGAGCGAGCGCTGTGGCACCGACCTGGCCTACGTGTACTTCGTCTCTTTCATCTTCTTCTGTTCCTTCTTGGTGAGCAGCAGTGTGCTCTTGGCTTGAGATGTGGCCCAGTCCCCCCCTCTGATAAACAGACGAGAGGTTTCCTTCGGTGTACGTTCCGCCACGAACCCCAGCCCATGATGAGAACTAGGCCTCCTCACGGAGGCTCTTGGAGGCCAGGGTGGGTGACTTTCCATGGCTGAGAGATGTCTCTGCTGCTTCTAGGCGAGGACTGTGTGAGAAGAGCTAATTAGGGGAGTAGGTAGTGTTCCGTGAATAGAGTATTGAGTATCACGTTGAATCAGTTGTGACCCAGAGTGAATCTTTCTCTTCTGTATCTCTGGTATTTTATCTCACAAGCAGGGCTCAGAGTCTTTTCTCTCTCCTTTGGAGACCTTTGAACTGTTTGAGAAAACGTACTCTGAAACTGTAAGGGGATAGCATTAATCAGAGTAGGATGATGACAATATACAATGTGGTAGATGCGGTTCTCTCTCATGTCGCTACATTTGGTGACAGTTGGCCAGCTTGATAGACATGAAAGGATATGACTGCTTTAGGCATTAGTAAATATTGAGTAATATACGTGCCACACGCCCACCTATAAAATAGTGAGAAGCCCTAGGTGCCTTCTTAATTCTTTCTTTGGGAGAAAACATGACTTAGCACAGCAGCATCCAGAAATCTCTACCCTGCACAATCACACAAGCGGTGATAAAGAGAAGAATGGGCGAGGTGCTACCAGATCACTGGAAGGGTCAGTCTGGCGTTTCTGGCCACCCTGACGTCCCTGGGCTCGGCTTCACTGCTGATGCCACCGGCTACACAAAAAATCTAAAACGAAAGCAATGCCACTTAAAAGTGGTCAGCTTCATGGCTGGGAATCCCAGAGCGAATTGTTTGGTGTCCAGGAATTTCTACCTCTTTAAAGTGATCCCAAGGGGACTTGCCATGTGTCCAGCTGTCGGGTGTGGGGAAGTGGCTAACACACAGACTGGTAAGGGTGGTGGGCAGGCCGATGTAGCAGGGGTTGAACTGACCGGAGACTTGGGGAGCCCACACTGGCGTTGTTGCTGTTCTAGCCTTGGCCAAGGCACCTTCCCATTTGTGGCTTCTGTAAAATGGGAAGAAAAAGTACTTGCTGATAAGAGTATTATTGGTATAGTGAGCTGATACATGTGTTCCTTCTCGTGGATGTGAAAGGTTTTTTGATGAAAAAAGAACAGAAAATATTATCTTATTTAGAAATAGGGATGTATAATCTATAATGAAAATAACCAAGGAAATTTAGAATGATGATATAAATTGGAGTTTTTTGTTTATTCATTCCTGTATTCAGCACTTTCATCACATTTTTATTGAGTGGCCATTAAAAGGTTCACACGGAGCTAGACACTGAGGTGAAGCCGTCAGTGAGTTTCAGTGCATCCGTCACCTAGAACTGAAAGGTGAAACTCATACAGGAGTATCAGTGCTTATCATAGGGGGAAGTGGAGCATATAGAAGGCCATGCAGACATCTCCATTTTATCCTTCATCATTTAAGTGTTTAATAAATATTTCAAAAGAAACCAAAGATATAACTGGAAAATTAATTAGTGACCATAAAGGTACTTTTAGAATTTTGAGATAGAGGCTACTGCATAATTCACATTAATGTTATTTTTATAGAGGCTATATTCAGTATGAGATGATCTGCTTTCAAATCTCAGCCCGACACTGACTCTGTGACCTTGGGCAAGTCACACAGCTTCTCAACTCAAGCCAACCACTCTAGAAAGATTTACCGGTGCGTTGGGATGTGCCCAGCTATGTGCTTGGAGCTAAAGAACACAGATGTGTCTAGGAAGCACTTGTGTCCTTGAAAGGCTGGTGGTAATTAAACCTGCTTCACGAAAGGTTAGAGCAAGCATTAAACGTCTGGTAGGTGTGAATACGCACACAACACTATAGAAGACTATGCAAACGTAAAGCAATAATAATACAAATAGTTTTTGTTAACATTAATAATAATTAGGATGCAGCCAGCAGTCTCTGTTGCAGAGAAGACTCCCAGCAACTCCATCCTGCAGGCTTTGTCTTTATCCTGTGTATCCTGTCTGCATACCTGGCACCTCCACCCACCCAGCCACTTAACCTGGGAATCAGCAACAGAGGCTCCTGTTCGCTCACCTCCACAGCCAATTCATCTCTGTCAGGCAAGGTTCTTTCACTTGCAAGTGGCAGAAAGTCCAGCTGCATCCGACCTAAGCAAAAAGGGATTTCATCGGCTCATATAAATGAAGGGTCTGGCAGGACAGGCTTAAGCAAGCTTGATCTGGGGCTCAGATGACATCCCCAGGCCCAGGTTTCCTTCTTTATTGTCAGATCTCTTCTCCAGGCTTCTGCATGTGAGCTCTTTTCTCCAACAACTCCAGTCCTTGGCTCCAAGATGGCTGTAGCAGCAGCTGTATACCTCACTCCCCACGTATTCAAGGCCAGCAAGGAAGAACAAGTCTCTTGCTCAGAAGATTCAATGCCATTTTCTTGGCCTTGATTGGCTTACCAGTCACTGTAGCCCAGGGAGATGGGATTCAATGGCTGGTTGAGGCCTGGGTCATGGTGGTGCCCCACTAAACCATATTAACTGGGAATAGGTAAGGGGTGTGTCCCCAGGAGACCGGAAGTACAGTATATGGGTGCTGGATGGCCAAGAAACAACAAAGAAGTGCTGTTCACTGTGGTCGAGGCCCGTTGAGTCCACCTCCTTAAACTCTCTATCCAGGCTGCTGTCTGGCACTGGCTTAGTTCAAGAGCATCGCAAAACTCCCCCTGGTCTCCCGCTCACCTTCCACACCTTCCACATTGCGACCAAGTGTTCTTTCTGAATGCACATAGCCCTTGGTCTCTCTCCTAGTTTAAACCCCTTTAGGGGTTCCTGTTGCTTCCTGTTGCTGGATAAGATTATATAGAGCTCCACTAGCTATAGCCCACAAGCCAAATCCAGTTTCCCACTTGTTTTTCTATGGCCCATGAGCTAGGAATGATTTTTACATTTTTCAATAGTTGAGAAAAAAAATCAAAAGATGAATAATATTTCATGACATGAAAATTATATGAAATTCGAACCCATACTCCTTTTTGTCCCTGCTGTACATGCTTCTTTCATGGCTCTTAAAAAAATCTGTAACATTTGTATGTTTCCAACACATCACAGTCTCTGGTAAATACTAAATGTCTTTAAGAATATTCAAGTAACAACATCTAGTGAACGCCTGCTATGCCTTAAGCAACGTGCTAGTTATGGAAATGTATCTCGGACCAGACCTTTCTTAACTCCCACCACCAGCACCTGGAGCTCTGTCTGGAACATAGTAGGTGCACAATAAATGTTGTTGAACAAATAAGTGGGAGAACAGGGTCTTGGAAGCATTTAAGAGCCGCGAACAGCTTCAAGTTGTCGCACAGTGAGCCCTTCATCCGCTATAAGGCATCCCACCAGTTCTCTCACTGGCCGCTTTGGGGAGCAGGGGTTGGGGAGGGAGGCTGGCAGGGAGGCTTGGTGTCGGGCCTTGACTTCCTCTAGCCTTTGAGAACGTGTTGCTGCTGCTGCACTAATAATTAAAGAAATTTAATAGATAACAAAAGCGACTGAGGAGTACTTTGCAGATATAAAGTGGCAGAGGAAAGTGAAATCATAATGCACGCAGAAAGACGTGTAGTTCAGTCGTGAAAATGCTGCGTTGCCTTCGGCAGGATCAACGGTGCTTTGGTTAGGAGCCTCAGCCTCACACACTTCTGAATTCTTTATTTGCCTTGAAGCCTGTTTTTCTGCTTTGGGTTTCTCCTAACTCCTCTTCCACCCCTTGCCCTCCAGATGCTCAACCTGTTCGTGGCCGTCATCATGGACAACTTTGAGTACCTGACTCGGGATTCATCCATCCTGGGGCCTCACCACCTGGACGAGTTTGTCCGTGTCTGGGCAGAGTATGACAGAGCCGCATGGTGCGTAGGCCTCTCGGCGCCCCCCGTGAGGCCCATATCAAGGGCCTCTGGAGTTCTCAAGGAAGAGGTTGGAATTGGAGACACCCATGCTTGCTTGTTAGAGAAGGAGAGGAGATTCCTCTTGGTTGTGGCCTGTGGAAGAGGCCAGGTCCTCAGACTGGCTCTGGGATCGAGCCAGTTATGGACCACTTAGCTTCTTTATCTTCCTTTCCCCTCTCTTTCCTTCTGTGACAGGCTTTTCCCTTTCTTTGCCTATCTCAGTACACAGTCTGCACCTCAGAGTGTTTGAGTCAGTCGCTAGAGGAGCTTCCAAAATGGTTAGTGGACCCCTCTGAGTCACCAGGGGGGTTGACAAGTGTTTTGGGGGCCAGCTGGACATCTGGCCACCATGGTCAGTGACATTCGTCTTTTCTCTATCTCATCCCTCTCAAAAGGTAGTTTCAGATAACTCTGAAATTATATAAAAAAGCGAGCAAGTTATTCTTCTAACTGATTGCTTAAATACTTGTGGATTTTTATTGCATGGAACTGAGTTAAATGGCAGGAATTTGCGGAGATGACCTCCCTAGGTCTTTTTCACTTTTCAATAGTTCTCAAGTGATATTGTGCCTTCTGGGCTTTAAAGCAGAGGCTGGCAAACTATAACCCATGGGCTAAATGTGGCTCACTGTCTATTTTTGCAAATAAAGTTTGGTGGGGTTTTTTTGGTTTTTTTTTTTTTTTTTTTTTTTTTTTTTTGTGGTACTCAGGCCTCTCACTGTTGTGGCCTCTCCCGTTGCGGAGCACAGGCTCCAGACGCGCAGGCTCAGGGGCCATGGCTCACGGGCCCAGCTGCTCCGCGGCATGTGGGATCTTCCCGGACCGGGGCACGAACCCGTGTCCCCTGCCTTGGCAGGCGGACTCTCAACCACTGCGCCACCAGGGAAGCCCTGCAAATAAAGTTTTATTGGAGCACAGCCATGCTCATTTATGTACTGTCTGTGGCTGCTTTCACACTACAAGGCAGAGCTGCATATTGTGACAAAGACAGCATGGCCCTCAAACTCAAAAATATGTATTATCTGACCCTTTACTTAAAAAGTTTGCTAATCCCTGATTTAGAGTTCAAAGGCAGCCTTTTGGTCCTCACAGTTGAAGACAGGGTAAGAGTGCTGTGAGCACTCACTCCATGGGAAGTTTTCTGTCCCAAGTCATCTTAGTTTTTTATCTCGCCAATCTATCCATTCTGGTCCCCCTCTGAAAATACTACAAGAAATTCCATCCTTCATGGGAATGGACCACGTTGCTTCCACCTGGAACTACTTCATAATCTAAGACTCTTCCCAAATCTGTCCTCCTATGAGGCTTGTTGAACTTGGGTCCCTGCTTTAGATGTTGAAAGAGTGAATCAGAATTCCTCTTCCCCTCAGTCATTATTAATGACTTAGCACAGAGTTCTCTAAATCCATTCCTGTTACAATGGCTGAGCAATGGCTTGTACTTTCTGGGCCTTCTTTCTAGTAGGATAGGCTGCTTTAGAATGCAGTGGGCACTGTGTTACAGGGGAATGCAGCCAGGCCTGTATCTTGTCAGCTCTGTGGCCTTGGATAAGTCATTCAACCACTCTGAGCTTCCACATTTGTTGTATAATAGTGGTAATGATCCTGCCTACCTTGAAGGCTGGTTGTGAAGAATATATTAAATCATGTATTAACTGTTGTTATAATTAATTACCATATGGGAAAGAAAATATGAAAAACTGGTGTCTGTAAAGCTGGATGGCCATGGGATCGGGAGACCAAGAAGGGACCTCTTCACTCACCTGAGAGAGGAGAAAGCAGCTGCTAGCAAAGGAGTCCCTGGCTCACCTAGCCTCACTCAGGTGCCCTTGGCTCTCGGAAACCCCAGCTTCTTGGGGTTCACATTATTTTGGGACCCAGGTGCCTTGGGCATTAAACATGCTGCTCCCCAGTTCTTCCATCTGCTGGGAAGAACAATTCCACGAGAACTAATCATGAGACTCAGACGCATGAGCTGTGAAAGAGCAAAAAGACCAAAGAGAACCTCTGTGTCTACTTTGAAATTCACAGCGTAACTTGTCCTGGTTTTAGTTTTACTGGCCTTCTCTACGAGATGAGAGGGGAAACTAACCAAGGTAAAGTAAGCCAATGTCTTCAAAAAGGAGACAGACAGGTTGCAGAGCACATCAGCCTGTAGACAGCAGGACCAACGCACCCACGTCCCATCCACAATGAGAAAGAAAAGAACATGTGGTAAAATGAACCTCCCCTTAAGAGTCAAGAGACCTGGAAGTACGGCTGAGCTGCTGTTTGGAAGAAGAGGAGGAATCAACAGCAAAATCAAGAAAAGATTAGGAAGAGTGACACTGGGGCAAAGTTGTAGTCTCGACATCACTGGCGAGGATTGGATGCTTGGAGGTGGAGAATGCGTGCTTGTCATTTCCGGTGGAAGCCCTGGTCTGTACCAGGATGCGTCCAGACCCTCAGATCCCTGGCCGTTGCTGACTTGTTCTGGCCCCTGAGGGAGCAGATGCTTTAGCCACTGAAAATGAATCAACTGTTGAGTCTGTCCTTTACACAGGAAATCAGAATTCTCTAGCAGGCTCTGTGAAAGGGGAGTGATAAGATAGGTCACAGTGTTCCTGGAATTCTGACTGGATCTGACCAAGCTGCCTATGGGCTGGGTTGCAGGAGCAGGACTGGCGGGAGAGCATTTCGGCTCCCTTGCAGGCTGCTTTCTGAGCACAGATCCGGGCAGGCTCCAGCCAAATTGAGAAGAGTTTGCCCAAGCAGAACTCGGGGAAAAATCTGCCACAAAGAGAAGCAAAGCCCTTTGCAAATTCCCTCATGCCAACTGTGCTCCTTGCTAATTAGCCTAATGGGAAATTTCTTTCTCGCACTCTGTAGAAGGAGGCTGACTTTCCCACTGCCCTGACAAGTGGGTCTGACTGTGATCAGTGTCTGTGTAAGCAAAGGGTTCTGCTGTCTGCTTCACGGCAGCCTGGTGTCTGCTCTTGGTGGCAGTCAGAGGTATTTGTGAATTGGTGGGCTTTGTTCTTAGAGGCCTAGCTGGACCCAGGCTCCACTTTCTGCATCTGGTCAGGTATAGGCCCAACAGATATCTCTGGGTGCTCGTGGCCACTAGGCATTGAATGAGCTCTGATTCCTTAGAAAATTCGAGGCAGTGCAGTTTGCAGTGACGGTTCTCTGATACTTACCTCGCTGTTTGCAAGGTGGTGGTTCTCTGATGCTTTTCGTCCTCAGTCTCTCCTAATCTGGCTTTGCTGGGCCCAAGGAAAGCAGCTGCCCTTCCTCCTCCAGCCATCCCCTTCGTGGCTAGGCTGTCGTTTCTCTCCTACCCTTCTCTGAGTGTCCTATTAACCCACCTGTGCTTCCTTTACAGCGGCAGGATCCCGTATAAGGATATGTACAAATTAGTGCGGGTGATCTCGCCACCTCTGGGCCTGGGAGAGAACTGCCCCTACAGGGTGGCTTGCAAGGTTTGCCTCCGGTCCCCAGCTGTGACCATGACCATGACCGTGACCGGCGGCGGGGTGCAGCCTCCAACCCCCTTCCTCTCCGTTCTGCTCCACCACCACTGCGCCACATGAGGGAACCTTCATGTTGCTTTCCTTTGAGTTTAAAGAGGTCCAAACCCTCCCAGAACCAGCAGCTGTTACACAAGGAAGAAGGGAACGTTTTGGGGGGACGGCGGATAAAAAAAGAGTTAAGGACTTAATAACGGAGGCTGCTTTGACCTCTGTTTTCTTCACATGCACACACTCATTCATGCACGTATAACACACACATTCTCCTCTCTCTCTTTCTCACTCCACCTTAATCTGTGGATTTAACCAGAGGGACCTCTCCCTCCTCCAGAGAATGCAGAAATCTTTTGAATCCAGCAAGGAGTTCTGGTTTCTTTTCCCTGGAGACAGAGAGCCTCCTTTTAGCAAACTAGTAGCATCATCCCATATACGGTGTAGAGAAGTGTGATTCTAGCCATGCCTACCTCTGCCCAGCTCTGGGTAGTTCGGCCACAAGCAATTATAAAAGCTATAGGACAAAAGGGAGGTGAGAAATCATAAAAAAAAAATGAGGGCAGGAGGGGAGGATAAGTCAAGAAGGCAAAGAGGATAGAGTCGGTGGGAGAATTTAATAGCTCAGAGGGTCTGGGAAGGTCCCAGCAGAGGACGAGGGCTCGGAGCAGGTTTCTTGCCTGAGGGTCCTGCCGTGTATTGTTGGAGGCACCGAGAGCTCTGTTGTAACTGCCGAGTCACTGTTTGTTTGTGAGACCAAGGACGTTGTTCAGGGGCGCACAGGACCTCCCTCTTCAACTAGCACAGTGGCTCCACCCAGTCCCTGTCCAAGGCCAAGCCCACTAGATAAGGAAGTCTCTCCTGGTGTTACAGGAGGGATGCGCGGGCTCCCGGGTGCGTAGCACAGTCTGGCAGCCGGAAGACGACTTAGGCCCAGGAAGATGCCAGGCTGGGCGATGGGAAGGAGATGGCCTGGGATGGTGACAAGTGATTCCCATACTCAGGAGGCCGAACAGCTGCCTCTGCAGAGACTCTTTAAACTCCACCCTGGTGAAACCTGCAGCCGCATGTGGGAGAGCCGGGGAGGGCAGCATGGCATGCGAGATGCTCTTCCTCCTCCTGGTTTTGTTTCTTCTGTCCCCAGCATGCCGTCGCCCCCGGGGCATGCCGGGGCACAAAGAGCACTCTTGCCACCAGAGCCAGGTGGAAGCAACGGGCCGACTCTGCCCAGCAGCCGTAGCGCAGCACTTCCAGCGCGAGCCGCCGTCTCCTGCTGCACTCACACCACAGAGGGGGATACACGATGCTCCGCCTGCGGGTTCAGAGCAGGAGAAAGGCCTGACTTCCAGGCCAGCACCCCCGTCCCCAGCCGGGGCCAGAAATCCTAACCCACGGCTGGAACACCGTCTATCTGGTTTATACCACTCTCACACAGCCCTGGGAATTGAAGACAAGCTTGTGTTGGATGGGGGATGGATGAGTTGAACAGAGAGGTAGGGTGATGCTCATCCTGGAGGAGAAAACCGGTCCCTGTGACAGCCGCGCAGAGAGACCAAAGGTTGCCGCCACGTTCCCGGGTCTGTGTTGGGTGTGCTATAAACCCGCACCAGGATGGAGACACGTGTACGACTTGCCTTGATTAACGGGTTTCCTGTTCTTTTCCTGTCTGTCCATTTTGTTTCGTTTTTCTTCTCCTGTTTTCTGTACTCTTTTGTTTGTTTGTTTTGGCTCCCCGGGAATGCCTGTTCTCCTCTCCTCCCTGTCTGCATCCTTTCCCTGCCACCCTCCCTGCCCTGCCACCCTGCCCCCATCCCCACTTACCACCCCGCCATGAGCAGTGGCCGCATCCATTACACTGAGATGTATGAAATGCTGACTCTCATGTCACCACCGCTAGGCCTCGGCAAGAGATGTCCCTCCAAGGTGGCATATAAGGTAGACCACCTCTTCCTTTGTTCTGGGCTAGTGACCAGCAGGAAATGGGCGCCAGCTGTGGGGAGGTCAGACGTGGGGAGGAAGCCGGGCTGGGGAGGGAGAGGAGGGAACCAAGGAAAAAAGGAATGATGAGATGAAAAGGTCATGACGCTTCACAGAAGGGGTGAAGTCCTGAATCGATACGCAAGGTGGTGTGTAAGACTATTCGCCGTGGGTTTTTTTTTTTAATGTTATTCTGTTTCTACAAGTGTGTGGCTTCTTGTGAGTGGGTTACTAGAAAGGAAGTGTTAAGTAGCATGTTTCCTTCTAGAGGAGGCAGAGTGGTGGGCTGTGGAATAGCATATATGGGCAAGAAGAAAGCCTGCAGCAAGACAGCTATCAGAGCTTATTAAAAAAAAACTTCAATCAGATAAGCTAAGGAAATAATGCAGAAATTCCTCTAAACATGGTTCAAGAAGAAATTTTTAGGAGAGAGGAAAACTCTTAACAAATTTCTTCCTCCATGACGTAGGGAGGAACGATGGCATGGTTCCTTCTAGGTACGAAAAGAAAGAGGAACGGCAACCTCCATCCCATGATACGTGATGAAGGATGCAGCTCCCTTCCCCATTAGCCCAGCTACCCGTTTTTCCTGGCAGTTCAAAGGAAAGGGTGATGATGGACACAAGTTGCATTCAGCATTAGATTTGCCTTCTTGGCATGACTATGGGTGGACTCCCCTCGGCTTGCTTAGGACAGCATTGTGCCTTGGGAGTCAACTGCCATTGGGGTGTTCAAGAGCCTTGGGGCCTGAACTTTTTCTCCACAATGGATAATAGTTACTGCTAATTCCCCATTGCTGTTTAGACTGACCCAGAACTCTGGAGCTCTTTCGTTCACCTAGGAATACACCCTAGCAATGTCGCCACTTCTCTAGAAGCCTACAGAAGTGGGAGAGAGATGGAAGTCAGATACAAACAAGAAACTGGCCTTACACTCTAAGACACCGTGTTTGCGGCATCACGTTAAGCAAGATGTTCCAATGGAGTTTTAGAAACCCTGTCTTGGGAAGAAACACTTGCCTTCCTGCTAGGCTGGTGGTTCTGTTGGAGGACCTTCTCCTGCTGCTACCTCCAAGTTGAAAGCTCCAGAGAGCATCTCATTGGAATGGGGGGGGCCATTAGGGACCCTTGTCCACCCCACTACATGGCTCCTCCTTTGAAGCTTAGGGGCTGGCATCCTTTTTGCTCACGATTCCACATCTAACGGTACCGGGTGGTGGAATGTGGCCCTAAGTTCTTTGAATTTCTGGGGTGAAGCTCAGTGGGAGAAGGGATGTGGGGATTGGAGGAAAAGTTAAAGAATTCCAAAAGCAAGATACTCTCTGGAAAGTGGATTTGGCCATTTCAGTTTGATCCCCCTTCCTTTGGGTGAGGGGAACAAGGCCTGCCCACTCTGCTCCTGCCTTGATCACCCTTCTCTTCTCTGCTCTCCCCAGCCCTCTTCCCCTAGACCTTGTTTGCACTCTCCCACTTTTCCATTCTGCTCCACTTCATCTTTTGGATAAGCTGGACTTCTGCATGTTCAACCATGTGCTGGCAAATTTCATCTTTTAAAGACTCAAAAAGGGGGCATCAGGATGCATCTTTCAAGTCAGATAAGCAAAGCACAATCTCCCCCATGTGAGTTTTGGGGGGTATTCATGGGACAAGTGGAATTGTAGAGCAGCCCTGAAACAGGGAATGGAGTCACCTCACAGAGCTGACTCCTTCCCCTGAGCCACTGCTTCTAGGAATCCCTATTAAAGACATTCTTAGGACTGTGGAGGAGTCCTACAGAATGATTAGTCCCTCTTCCCTTGGAATTCGGCATCATTCCCTAGAAATAAACAAAGCAAAACAAAACAGCAGCCAATGAGCCTTAAGTGAGAAGCCGGGAGAGGGCAGGACTGGGACAGGAGACGGGGGTATCCTTGCCCTTCTTTTTTGTCTCTGCATTTGACCTCTGCACTTTTCCTCCCTTCTCACCAAGGTTTCTCTCGATATATTTTTTTCCTCCTGCTGTTTCTTTTCTCTCTTTCACACAGAGGTTAGTCCTGATGAATATGCCAGTGGCTGAGGACATGACTGTCCACTTCACTTCCACGCTTATGGCTCTGATCCGGACAGCTCTGGACATTAAAATCGCCAAAGGTCAGTAAGCTTAGGGGGGGAAAAGATTCTGAAACAACTCACGCAGGGTGGCGCAGGATGGAAATGTTTGACCTTTCATCCCTCTGATGAGGCAGTGACCTGGAGATCAAATAGTAGGGTCCCTGTTTCACCTCTGAGCTACAGTAACTATTATATTTGCCCTTTCTTCTTGGTGAAATGAACGGTTTGATAATCACTAAGCCTCCTTTTGGCTTCAACACTATGTGATCTTTGGTGTCTGGCACAAAGTAGGCATTTTAGAAATATCTGTTGATTGAACAAATGAGTTTTGATTCAGTTCTTTTTTTTCTTTTCTTTTTTTCCCCCTTATGTGGTGCCTTTAACAACTTGGAAGGCTTCTGTGGCAGGTGCTATCATGGCAGTATTTTGTTCCTTTTGATTTCTAATTCAGTGGTTTAGGAAAGAAAGGGTTTACTACTTGCAGATGGGCCTCCAGCTTCCTGCTCTTGCCTGACCCAAATCCTTTTTAAAATCAGGTCACTCGGGCTTCTCTGGTGGCGCAGTGGTTGGGAGTCCACCTGCCGATGCAGGGGACACGGGTTCGTGCCCTGGTCTGGGAAGATCCCACATGCCGCAGAGCCGCTGGGCCCGTGAGCCATGGCCGCTGAGCCTGCGCGTCCGGAGCCTGTGCTCCGCAACGGGAGAGGCCACAGCAGTGAGAGGCCCGCGTACCGCGAAAAAAAAAAAAAAAAAAATCAGGTCACTCAGACTCTGGAGTCAGATCGCTGGAAGAACTGACACACGTATAAAGGCAGAGGAGGCTGGCTCGTGGCTCTCTGCATTCCCCCTTCTGATATACTGAGCAGCTGGGAGCCTCTGTGAATCAATGAGGAGGCTGATCTTGGTCCCAGGGCCTCGGCTCTCTGTGACAGGATATCCCTGAGTCACTGAAAACGGAGCCAAAATGTGTTCTGCTTCTTCAGCAGAAAGACCCAGTATTGCAAGGTCCACTGTCGCTAAGTACCAAGATCCCCTCTGAGAATATGACGTGCCATGCTGACTCAGCTCCTGCCCCACCTCCTCCCTCCGTCCTTGTTATTTCTGTGTCTGTTCTGTTTTCGCTATTAATAAATGTATCTTGCCCTAGGTGGTGCGGACAGGCAGCAGCTAGACTCAGAGCTACAGAAGGAGACCCTGGCCATCTGGCCTCACCTGTCCCAGAAGATGTTAGATCTGCTTGTGCCCATGCCCAAAGGTGTGGGGTCTCCTCCAGGGTATCCTTGTCACTGTGGGCCCAGCACGCCAAGACCACACCCTTGGGGGGAACACAGAATGATCGAGGAGATAAGGGAAGGGTGCTCTTTTATTCTTAGGAAACAAAAATCCCTCACTTCTCAAGTTCCTTTTGTCATTAATTGAAAACAGTTTCTTTGTTTTTTTTTTACTGAAGTATAGTTGATTTACAGTTGTGTTAATTTCTGCTATATAGCAAAGTGATTATATACATAATTAATTATATACATAAATATATTCTTTTTTATATTCTTTTCCATTATGGTTTATCCCAGGATATTGAATATAGTTCCCTGTGCTATACTAACCTTGTTGTTTATCCATCCTATATGTAATAGTTGGCATCTACTAACCCCAAACTCCCAATCCTTCCCTCCCCCACCCTCCCTCCCTTAGCAACCACAAGTCTGTTCTTTATGTCTGCGAGTCTGTTCTTTATGTCCGTGAGTCTGTTTCCATTTCGTGCCATATTTTAGAGTCCACATATAAGTGACATCATATGTTATTTGTCTCTTTCTGACTTAGTATGATAATCTCTAGTTGCATCCTTGTTGCTGCAAATGGCATTATTTTGTTCTTTTTTATGGCTGAGTAGTATTCCACTGTATATATGTACCACAGCTTCTTTATCTGTTCATCTGTTGATGGACATTTAGGTTGCTGCCGTGTCTTGGCTATTGTGAATAGTGCTGCTGTGAGCACTGAGGTGTGTGTATCTTTCTGAATTCCAGTTTTGTCTGGATATATGCCCAGGAGTAGGATTGCTGGATCACATGGTAGTTCTAGTTTCAGTTTTCTGAGGAACCTCCACACTGGAGAACAGTTTCTTAAGATAGGTCACTGCGGTTGTGGATGAAACTTCTTGGCTACATAGCTCTGTCCTTCCACATAACACAGTTCAGCAAACCTTCAAGCCGTTGGGGAAAAGGTGGTGTTACTAAGAGATGGAAACCTAGACCATTCTGGGGGTGGGGAGGTGCTTACTAACGTGCTGCACATCATTGGTAACATCACCCTCCCTGGGTGGCCGTGGAAGCTCCCTGAGGCTAGACATGGGGACCTGTTCACTCTGTAGCCTCAGTGCCTGGCACAGATGGAACCCTCAATAAATGTTGGATGGGTGGGTGGCCGAAGGGGCAAACCTGCTTCCTAGGTGTCCTCACTTTCCCCCCCGTGTCTTCTCCCTGTTCCCCTCCATGCCACACTTGTGTCTTCAGCCTCTGACCTGACTGTGGGCAAAATCTATGCAGCAATGATGATCATGGACTACTATAAACAGAGCAAGGTGAAGAAGCAGAGGCAGCAGCTGGAGGAACAGGTGAAGGTCAAGGACAGCGTGGTGGCTGGGTGGGCCCCTGAAGGGACAGGCCTGTGCATCCCTGGGGCACAGTGCCGTGCAAGTGCTTAGAAGCAGAGGTCAGGCTTTGCTTTGCAGGGTCCAGGAACCTCCCTAGGATCAAGGGATTAGAAAACCAGTGGGGCAGAGGTTCAGATAGTCAAACAGGGTATCAGTCGTATTCCTGTTTTACTCAAATGGTATTTTCCCCCCACAGTCATTTGAGTTCCTTTTTCCTCCTTTCCACTTTTAACACAGAAAAACGCACCCATGTTCCAGCGGATGGAGCCGTCATCTCTGCCTCAGGAGATCATTGCTAATGCCAAAGCCCTGCCTTATCTCCAGCAGGACCCCGTTGCAGGCCTGTGAGTATTACCAGAGGGTCCATGACTCCCCTGCTTGCATTATCACGTGTGCCATCGGGCAGACCCAGAAACTCATTGCCTAGAAGTGCCCGAGCTAATACTAACGCTGAGATGCATGGATGGTCCCCTCTCTGAGGGTGAGAAGACCACATGTTGTATCTTAAGATGGTTATTCAGCAGGGGTAATGGAAAAGCAGACTGAGCGTGTTTGGTGCCGTGGCCAGCTCCAGAGACAGGGAGCACTGTGAATGGACAAAGGAAGTAAGGGGCTGTATTAGTATCATCACTTTAGAGTGAACTCAGAGAGGTTCACTAAGTGGCCCAAAGCCATATGGCTGGTAGGAAGCTGAATTGGAATTTAAGTCAGTTATTTGCAAGCCCAGAGTCTTCCCACTACACCGTGTTATCTGTAATGAACAAAAAGAACCTTAAATCAGGCAAAACAATTTTTTGTTAATTTTCTATATTGAAAGTGGAAACAAAACCCTAATTAAGGCATGTGCCAATTCTTCCGAGTTGTAAGCCTTAGCCCCAATGTGGTCATTAGCCATAAAGGATCTAATGTAATATACATACTTCATTTTAATGCTTTCTTTCTCTCATCACAAGTGATGTACCCAAATGGTCCCTCTACCCAGCGTAAATGGCTTGTTGTCGTTGGTTATGATTAGTGACTTTTTTCCAGTCTAGCTCTCGTGGAACCAGTAAATCACTAAATATCACAACTTCAGTAATTGTCAGAGGAGTGAAATCCCAGGCTTAGGAATTGAGCCCTCAGTCAGAATACCATTTGCAATCTCTCACGCCATAAATTTCTTTCTGCCTGCGGTGTTGGAGACCTGTTTTTGAAAAGCATTGTTTTCAAAGGTCACAATCCAACGCATTTGAAAAAGAAAAAAAACGACCAAGGCCGTCGGTCGTTTTTACAAAACATGTGAGGTGTTTAAATAGCAGGTATGGATTCTCCTGTCTACAAAAAAACAAGTACATGTTTATCTTTGGTCTGTGCAGGAAGGTGGTCAAGAGGTATGATTAGAGTACTAGGGACTACCTCCTTGGAAGAGTTTACAGTGTTTTTCAAGGGTCTTTGGCTTAGAAATAGAGGACACCCTCCACCATCTAGATCTGTTTTAGCCACAATTTGCTGTACAAATTAACTCCCATCATTGGACTATTCCAGCCTCTGTCCCATATGTTTATTAATTCATTCACTCATTGATTTGACCAATATTTACTGAGAGTCGGTGTGACCCAAAAACTGGCTCAGACACTGGGGATTCAGTCCAGATAATCACACAGTCCCCATGGACACAGTTCTTAAAAAAGAAATTACAAGAGTGATAAAGGTTAAAATGTGGAAGGGTAGGCTATTGTGACTCTGTGTAAAGGAGGCAATGCACGTAGTTTGAGGATTTGAGGAAGCTTCCCTGAGGAAGTAACATTTGATTGAGACTCAAAAGCAGGTACTTCAAGAGGTGAAATAAAGTAAAGTATGGTAAGTTTAAGGAACCTAAGAACTGTCATGATGGTTGGAGCACAGAGATATCGGGGGACGTGGCAGGTGATGGATTTGGAGGGGCCAGGATGTAGGGATACAGAGGTAGTTTACAGGCAGGATACAGAAGTATTAGTGTCATCCAAGGATAATGGGTGACACGATCATCAGAGTGACATGATCAGGTTTGGGCTTTCCAGAGATCATTCTTTAATCCAGTGTGGGCTCCGTGGATTGGAGGGAAGCAGTTCGAGAGATAGAACACCATTTAGTACGTGGCTGCAATTGTGAATATTGGGAGACTGTGGCTTGGACTAACAGGATAGAAATGGGGAGAGAGAATCAGACTTGAGAGGCAATTAATACACAGAACGGATAGGATTTGGTGATTGATTGATTTGCTACATGGTGTGAGGGACAGGGAGGAATCCAAGATGACCCTCGGGTTTCTGGTTTGAGCTTCTAGGTGGATGTTGGTCCACTTCCTGAAACGGAGATGCTGGTGGAGCAGCAGGCTGGTTCTTTGGAACAACTTGTGTTTCTAGAGCCCTGAATTGTTCAAGTAGAGATTGCTTTGGAGGTAGTGTGGTGGACGTGACAGGGCTCCTCTCTCATTGAGCTTACAGCTGGTAGAAAAACAAACATGAAACAGATTGTCAGAAAAAAAACCACTTGTCATTTTTGATGATTTAATCACAGTTCTGGTGGGCGCTAGGATGGGGAAAAAATACATTATGATCTGATTGCTTGTGAGAGCGACCTCTGACGAGTTTATCAGGTAAGGTTTCCTTAAGGAAGTGACTTTTAAGAAGAATTTTGAAGGATGAATTCAAAAACGAGTTTGCAAGGGACCGGGTGTTTGAGAAGCATCCTGCACTCTGGGGAACAGCCTTTATTCAAGTCCTGAGGCAGAAAGAAGCCTGGCACCTTCAACCAACTGAGAGAGAGGCCTCTGGACTCTCTCCTAATAACAGTGAGAAGCCAGACAAGGTTTTCAAAGTAAGAGGTTACTCAGGGTTCAAATTCTTCAAGTCTATAAGGTTGTTCAGTGCTTTTAAGTGTCCTGTCTACCTATTGGGGATCCTGGAGTTACTCATTTTCTGTAGGACAAAAGGGGGCCCATTTCCTATAGAGCAGTGCTTGTTTCCCATGGTTCTCAGGCCAAGGCACACAGAAGAAGATGACTGACATTTAAGCAGTCGTTTAAACGGCAGACTGCTCTCTAGCAGTTGTAACAATTCAGCTAAAGCCCTCACTAGCAGCGAGGGGACAGGTTGGGTGAAAAGTGTGTGCTTCAGATTTTCCCCTATGATCCCAGTCTAACGGATTATTTTTCAGTAACTGGCAATCCTTGCTTAGGTCTCGGATTTTCCACTGGATTCACAGTCATTAGCAGGAGACTCTGCAGTGGCTCTCTCCGGAGCAGATGGGACACTGGCAGAGACGGTGTCCCATCTCTCCCTCCTAATTCCACACCCACTGAGGGAGCTGCTGCCGCAGTCACTGACCACGTTCCTCTTCCCGTGATCAGGAAGCTCAGTCTGCATGCTGGCTTAGGTCAAAGAGGAACTGTTACTGCACTAGTAGCAATGAGTGGCGGCAGCAGCGCCAAGTTCTCAGGAAAGATTGGCTGCCTCTTTTTTTTCCCTAACCAGCCCAGTGGATCCCATAGGCTGAGGGTGTCTTTCAGGTACCAAACCGTGGTTTAATAGCAGGCACACTGCAACAGCTCTCCATGCTTTTCATTCAGAGGCCCCTAAACACTTGGCCAACTCTGCCCCTGTCCTTTTTTACCTCATCACCATTGAAGCATCCTCCTACATAGCCATCGACCCAGACGTTGTCACCTCTTTCACCTCTTCTGAAATCGTTCCATGCAGTTCATACACCAGCAGTGTCTGATACAGAGCAGTCCTTCAATAAATGTTCATGGCATTGAATTGTTTGGTTTGGCCAGGGATGTTGGCACAATAAAACCATATTCTGAGAGTGGAGGAAATTTTTTAAAAGACCATGACTGCTTAATATTTAAACAAACTGTTCACTTTAAACTATGGCATTTTTCTGCCGAATGGAGAAACTGAGCAGAAACAGGTTTACAATCTAGCATTGGTCTTCCATATGGCTGAGTGTGACAAATGATGTCATTTGTCACAGATATGCTAGTCGCCAGCAAAATGATGAATGGTTCCAAATGCAGGTTGAAAACAGTGGTTCCTCTTTTCCAATGTTTTTTTAAAAAAATTTTCTATTCTAGGGCCAGCCACCTGTAAGTTATCAGGCTTTCAAGCCAGCCAAGGCTAAATGGTATTGCCCTTGCTGGGGAGGAAGTCTTGTCTGGGTGGGAATTGGTAATGACAACTACGTCATGACTGTTTCTCTTTCTCTTATGCACACGTTACCTCTGAACTTGGCATTGCTTTGCAGGAGTGGCCGGAGTGGATACCCTTCGATGAGTCCACTCTCCCCGCAGGAAATATTCCAGTTGGCCTGTATGGACCCAGCTGACGATGGACAATTCCAGGAACAGCAATCTCTGGTGAATGAATGAGTTACATGACCTCAAAAATACTTCCTTGGTTTCCTGATCCCTCCCCCTCTCATTTTCAAATTTTATTCCATAGCCTTGCTCCATCAGAAAAAAAACCTTTCTGATCGTCCAACCAATTACCCTGAAAGTTTCCTGCCATCTCCCCTTTCATAGCTGAGTTTCTCATGTTCTTTGACAAATGCTCCCTCTTCGGGTTTTACAACCCCAGAGGCTCCTTACCTGCTTCAGGAACTTATAATGCTTCAGGCCAAGCCCTCTTAATTTATGCCCCTGGGCATCAAATGGAGAAGCAGAAGTGACAAATGAAATCTTGCCTTTGAGAGGGAACCTTAGGATGAATCATCATAAGAATGGATGGCACCAATGGATGACAGATGGAACTTTAGATTTTGATAATACAAAGCTAAAATGGGACTCCCAGAGATGATGGACTTTACTATTAGTTCAGGAGCCATGAGGTCAAGTTCCCTCTGGAGCTTAGAATTAAAATCCAGGTGGTTATTGGTCTGGAAAGAAAAAGGGTAAAACCCAACCTTTGCAGTAGTCTATATAGACAGCTTGTATTAAGTGAGTCCCATGTCACTTTGATTCTAATTCACCTGTGTTGTTCTCTCCCCTTCATTTTTTTCCCTGACCCCTCCCCACTGTTAGTGTACCCCAGCGCCTTCCTGAATGGATGTGTGGGTGGAGTGTGGGTGTGGCCTGCTTGTGGAGGGCATGTCTGATGGAATGGGTACCCTTCAGAGGGGAAAAGGGACTAATTGGTCCAGATAGTTTTAATTCTAAAAAGGGCCTCTCGTCATTTTATGGCTTGCCTGGTGATGTGTCTGTCTGGTGAGAAAAATCTCAATCATGTGTCCTTTCTTTCACAGGGAGGCTTCATTACATCACCCTTTCCGCAGGTTTCCCGGGGCTGAGCTGTAGTGCCAGGACTTTTTGGATATATGTTCATCTCATTGTCAATACTGGTGTCTGTAATTCAATTCAGGTGTCAGCCCATGCTATACACTCACCACTGTGTACTCCTGCCCATCCTTTGGGGCTCCCTGCTCAACGTCCTGGGACATGGCCATGATTTGTGTGTGTGGGCGTGTCTTGCACCACCTCTGATACCCGTTGGCTGCAGTTGTTGTTACCACGTAGACTGCAGTGTTGTTATCACGTCTGTTTTGAGTCAGACCTCGGTGCTATAAAGAGCACATACTGCAAACACTGTAACTTCTTCAGGTGCACACATCATGTCCTTTGAAGGCAGTCCTCCCGTTCACACCAGGAACCACTCAGCCAAATGGTCATTGAGGCCAAGGGGGTGTCTCAGGCCCCCTTTCCTTTAATAGTACCCGACTCATACACCCATGTTTTTAGGTGTCATTTCCTAAATGTAAAATGCTTTTTTTCTGGTATAATCTCCAGATGTCTAAGATATTCCTAGGTCTCTTTGTTGGGTGGCCCACGTAAACATTTTTAAAGCGGCTCTACTCTTTGCGCAATGACACTAGCTGTCTATACAGAGCACGTACATTTGCCAAACTAACATTCTTTAACCAGGAAAATTAAATGATTTGGGCACGACCCTAGAGATCTCCCATCCAACCTTCTTAAAGCTCTCAAGTGCTCTCATAGTCCAATACATACGGTAACTGAGCACTTGAAACGTGACTAGTCCAAATTGAGACGTGCCATAGGTGTAAAGTACATGCCAATGTCAAAGACTTGGTACCAAAAAATGTAAAATAGCTCATTAATTTTTTATATTGATTACATGTGGCCATGAGAATATTTGGCTATATTGGGTTACATAAAATCTATTAAATTTCATGTTTCTTTTTACTTTTTAAAATGTAATTACTAGGAAATTTTAAATGACATAAGTGATTTGCATTATATTTCTATTAGACTGCACTAGTCCAAAGCATTCCTGAAAGATGGCTACCCACCCCCCATTATTGGATGGTTTCAATCATAAGAAAGCTCTTAAAATCACGCGTCTTAAGGTTTCAGAAGATAAACCTGACACCGGAAATTGCTGACTTTCCTTAAAATAGTGATTTCTATTTAATTGACAAATGGCTTCTTCAGATTACAAGCATAAACCCCATACTGTCAACTTGCAGAAGGTAAATTTCACAAAGCTATAAAATCTGAAGCATTGCTCAGTGATAACTAAGATGATACTTAACCAGAAAAGGTGATCCTTATCCCTCAATCCTAGTTAGCGCTTTCTGTTTGGGACATCTGGTATGCCACCTATGTGCACACATAGACACAAACATACATACACATACAACGGAGACCTTAGAGATGCAAGTGTCTCTTCTGAAAGCCGTTCTTCACATGGAGGAGGCAGAAGCATCCCCTGGAAGTGAGAAGCAATGGGATGGAATCAGGTCCCACAAGCTTGGCTGTGTGTTTATTTCTAGGAGCCAGAGGTTAGTGAATTAAAAAGCGTGCAGCCCTCTAACCATGGCATCTACCTTCCTCCGGACACCCAGGAGCATGCGGGATCTGGGAGGGCATCCTCTATGCCACGCCTGACTGTGGATCCCCAGGTAAAACGCAACCACCACCTACCACATGCAGTGGCATCCTGGGCTGTATTGAATTGGTGGGTTCTGAACACACATCTGATATCTTCAGGTGAGCCCTTGACCTGCCCCCACCCCTTCTCTATAAGCAAAACCTGGCTCACGGGCTTTCTCTACAGAGCCTGCTCCTCCACACCGTGTTTCCAATGAAACCCTAGCCACAACAGCCTAGCCAGCCAAAGGGCAGGCCCCCGGATGGGCTCAACATCCTCAAGACCCAACCAGCCATGCAAGAAATATTTTCCAGGATTTCCCCTGTGCATTTTTCCTCCTTTTCTCCTTTCCTGGTTCCTCTAGCGCATAGGCAGTTACGTACACACACAGCTCTGTGTCAGGACTGTCTGTCCTAACCAGTGCAGGCCACGCCTCATTTCTTTGTCTGTTTTCCTGGCTTTTTTCTGTCTGTCTGTCTTACATCAAGTTTTGACAGAGACAAGAAGTTTTTGTGGATCTGTTTTCACATCTGTGGCAAGTCAAAATGCCAGAGTTTAAGGTGGAGCTGGGGTGGGACTGATCGAGAGAGCGCAGTGCATTCTCAGGAGCTACTCATTTACAAGCTCTCCTAAGCTCTAGCGCTATAGGGTGGCGCCTTCCCTGAGGAGGGCAAAAAACAAGCGGCAAAGCCGTGCTTCTTTCGAGGTGGAGACTTTTTGACAGTTGCCCTCACTTGTTTCAAAGTGGCTCCAGGTTCACGGCAGGTCCTGGCTGAGTCTCCAGGGTAGATGGTTCTATGGGCAGCTTGCACAGGACCCTCAGCTCCTTGCTTTCCTGAGCGTGAAGAGGAGCCCTGCACCAGCCCAGTGACTAAGTTAACGTAAAGACACTTTCTGGAACAGCCTCCTCCAGCTAAGGTCTGAGCAAAAGGGATTTATGGGAGATGACAATTTGCAGTCTTCAACAATCTCAGTCCTACATCTTCCTTACTTCTAGACCATTTCAGTAATTAATCCATACCTTGTGTTCTTCTGGGGGGCTCATGTTTCCAGGTGGTGACAGACCCTAGCTCCATAAGACGTTCATTTTCCACTATTCGGGAAAAGCGTTCAAATTCCTCTTGGCTGGAGGAATTCTCCATGGAGCGAAGCAGCGAAAACACCTACAAGTCGCGTCGCCGGAGTTACCACTCCTCCCTGAGGCTGTCAGCCCACCGCCTGAACTCTGACTCAGGTGAGGGAGTCTTCACCGTTTGCCTCTTTTCTGACGAGAACTGAAAGTCACAGGAACAGAATCTAGGTAAAGATGGGGTTGCGGAGAGTGAAGGAACAATGCTCCTTAACAAAGGGGGTTTCCTGTCTGACTCACATCATGAAACAAAGCAACAAAACCCTCTCTAGTCATCACAAAGGCTGATGAGATTTCTTTCTTCCAGACCAGGGCTATAAAAATCATTAAAACAGAGTTTTCCCAAGGGCCTTCTACAAAACCACTCCACTGCCTTAGGGAAGCATTAGAGACCCCCTGGCAAGGGCGGAGCGTTACCCGCTAACTGCACTTCGACCCAGACAGTGCTACCTGGAATTCTTTTATGCATTTGAGTTTTGTTTTTTAAGGAAAAGGGTCATATTGATAGAAACAGAAAATCACTAGTCTGGTTCAAACTATTTTTACGAAGTGAAGAAACAAAGATAAAAAAGCAGTGACATGTCCCATATCATAGGGCCAGCAAGTGGCAGAGAGGGGACTAGAAGTGAAATCCATTGACTTCAGTCCTAGGGCATTACAGTAACTGTGTTTACTTTGTTCATAGCAACTTCTTAATTCCCTTCTGCTAGTGCCGTTTTCCCTCTAAAAAGTTACACACCCATGTTTAGGACGTAGAGGATTCTTGGGCCACATTGCTGGCAGAGATTCTACCTGAATTGTATCTAGCGTAAATGGAAGAAGAGAGTGATTGCATCCTTGAATTTGCAAGTCTTTCCAGTGGCAGCTTGCACACTTACCTCTTCACAAAAGGGTAATTTTCCAGTCTTTCTCTCCTTCTTCCCTTTCAGATCACCTGTTGACATGTCTGCAGAAGCCAGGGTCCTTGAGGGGCCTGGTCCCAAGCTGTAAGACTTATCTTTGTGTTCAGCGGCCAGGATGGGCAGAGTTACGATAGTTGCTTCTGTCATCTCTCATAGGCCACAAGTCCGACACCCACCGCTCAGGGGGCAGAGAGCGGGGACGATCGAAAGAGCGAAAGCATCTTCTCTCTCCCGACGTCTCCCGCTGCAACTCCGAGGAGCGAGGGACCCAGGCCGACTGGGAGTCCCCAGAACGTCATCAGTCCCGGTCTCCCAGCGAGTGCAGGTCGCAGACCTCCAACAGACCGGTGAGCATGGAGAGGAAGCTGAGCCTCTGCAGAAGACAGGGAGGGGCGGGCTGTTAACATGAGGTGCAGAATGTGGGCATCCAGCACCCACACAGACCTCAGCTTCACAGGAAACTGCATCCACTGTGCATAGAGGTTAGCTTTTTACTTAACACTTGTGTACTCAGAAATGATACGGATTTACAGAAAACCAAAGAGCCCCCCAAGAAAGACAATGGTGTCTAGGGGTCATTCCATCTTGGTTCTCAGTATCCAGAGTTACAAAGTCACAACAAATAAGTTCATAAATATCTCAGGCAGATTTCAGAGGAAAGGATGGTTTTTTAGCCAGAAAAGCTTTGACCAGTCGTGTGACCCTTAGTATTGGTTGGAATGGTGATTCCTCTCTCAACACAGGATTCAAAAGTCAGATCAATTCAACTTCATCTATCTAGCTTCCAGCCATCCCAAGAGGAAGAGCATCTCTCCTTCCGGCCAGTTGCTGAAACGTCAGCCTAGGTCTAAGATACAACTACGAGAGCTGTGTGAAAACACTCTCTGGCCCTGTTTTCCTCCTGACTACCATCCCTCACTCCCTGCCCTACCTTGCTCCAATGCTCTCGGAGTCCAGATGTGAGACCCATCGGCAGTGAGCAGTGGGCAAGAGGAAGGGCTTCCACAGCCAACTTTCAGACGCAGTTGAGAAGTTTACTTCTAGAGCAGTGGTGTCGAGTTTTAGTGCAGAACGGAGTCACCTAGGGCTTGTTCTAAGTGCACGTTTCTGGGACCTCGAGGCTTCTGCTTCAGTAGTGAGACCCGCTGTAAAGTAGAACCCAGAAGTCTGCACTTGGAAGGACCCCAGAATCTCCCAGGAGATCTTGAGCATGTGGTCCCTAGGTTACACGCACACCTTAAGCCTCAACACCGAGCTGGAGGTCCATGTACCAACCCCTGGGCTCAGAGACCCTTGGGACTGTGTCAGGCCTGAACCAGCAGATAAGTGGGGGGGGGGGGGTGTGTGTAGAAGCCAAGTTAGTCTTAGCACGCCACTGAAAACACAGATGCAAAAAGAGAAGATGAGGGAAGGTATTTGCCATGCCCTTAGATCCAATTCCCAAGAACGTTCCCCAGACAGAGCAACTCTAGAGCATTCGTTTACCTTTCACGTAGTTGTCTTTCCCAAAAGCTTCAAGTCTTTCTTTCAGCGTGCCACGTGCTAGAGAGAGTGAGCTTCCGGATCTTTGCTACTCAACGTGTTTGTTCCAAGGACCGGCAGCACCTGTGAGCTTGTTAGAAATGCAGGATCTCAGGCCCCACCCCAGACTTTCTGAGCTGCGTCTGCAGTTTAACAAGACCCCAGAGATGCATAAGGATATTGAAAGTTGACATACCCTGGTCTCCATGGTACTGGCTCCTGAGTCTCCTGTAATCTCTGCGTCCCTGAGCGGATGCGACTGGTAGCAGAGGGGACTCTGGTGGCTCTCTGTAGGAGGGGTTAGGGACCTTAACCAGGTCCCAAGTAGGAATGATGCCAAACCCAGGCTAACATGCCATGTTCTTCCTGCCGCACAGGGCACAGGGTCCCTCAGTGAAAGCTCCATTCCCTCCGTCTCCGACACCAGCACCCCAAGACGAAGTCGTCGGCAGCTCCCACCTGTCCCTCCGAAGCCTCGGCCCCTCCTATCCTACAGCTCCCTGATAAGACACACTGGGAGCATCTCCCCACCTGCTGATGGGAGCGAGGGTGGCTCCCCACTGACCTCCCAAGCTCTGGAGGGCAATGACGCCAGCCTGCCCGAGCCTTGCAACCCCCGGTACGTACAGCAGGGCCACCCCTCCTCCCCACAGCGCTACATCTCTGAGCCCTACCTGGCCCTGCACGAAGACTCCCACGCCTCGGACTGTGGCGAGGAGGAGACGCTCACCTTTGAAGCAGCTGTGGCGACCAGCCTCGGCCGGTCCAACACCATCGGCTCAGCCCCGCCCCTGCGGCACAGCTGGCAGATGCCCAATGGGCACTATCGGCGGCGGAGGCACGGGGGGCCTGGACCAGGCATGATGTGTGGAGCCGTCAGCGACCTTCTGAGCGATACGGAAGAAGACGACAAATGCTAGAGGCCGCGCCCCCCTCCGATGCATGCTCTTCTCTCAACACGGAGAAAACCAAGACCCCAATTGGGAAGCCAGTGCGGCCCGGGGGGGAGGAAGAGGGAGGAAGAAGATAGAAGGACACCGTGCATTATCAGAGAAGAGGAAGGAAAGGACAGAAGGAAAACCGGTCAAACCCACCAAATCGCTGTATTTCCCTTGGCAAGATGGGCACTGCCATAGTTCTGCCTCTTTGCTGGGGAAAGAATATACAAGAACATGGAGGGTTATTCCCAGGGGAGAAGGGACACGAGGATGGCTTTGCTTCCCCTTGCCCCTTCCCACTTTTCTATAGCCGCGGGGATGTCAGGCCGGCCTGTGGCTATGCCTGTTGCCCTGAGAAGCCTGGAAGACATTCTGGCTCTTAACTGGGGAGTCATGGAGACCCTGGGAGAGGACTCTCCTCCCTCACCAGCCCTTCCTCCTCGGCCAGCACCCCTGCCACCAGGCCAACCATGACGGCATCTCATGCGTTATCCTGTGGCTTGCGTCCCCAGAGGAAGCACAGGCTGAGTTCAGGAGCATTGGATGTCAAGGGTAGGAGGCAGAGAGGGAGGGGGAAGGGGAAGGGGTCGGGGCGCTGTGGTAGCAGCAGCGAGAGCCGGTCTGGGTGAGCAAAGCCATAGGCCGGCAGCCCTCACCATAGCGGGGGGGGGGGGGGGCAAAGGAGCGGAGAGCTGCTGCTGCTGGTCGCTGCAGTCCCGTCTGAGGCCTGTCACCCACTCAGTAGGTGCTGTGTTCATTGAGGATAGGCCAGGGAGGCCCCCTGAGGTCCAGGGAGGTGCCGAAGGCTCTGGTAAGGGTGACATTTTCAAAGTATTTAACAACCCGTGTGACCAGGGCACCCGCTGATGAGCGTGGAGTCCAGCCTCAGCACTGGCACCCCATGCCCCGTCAGGCCTCACTTAGCCCGGGAGAGGCCGGGCACGGGGGAGCCCCGAGGGTGGGCTGAGTGTGGCAGGGGGGCACTTAAGGGGCTCAGGCAGAGTCAGTTTTCCAACCAGTATAGAGGTAATTCAGTATGTGGAACGGCGCCGCAGCCGGCCCAGCACATACCGGCTGCATGTCAGCCCAGACTCTGGGCCAGGAGCAGAAGACCTCTTTGCCAAGCAGCAAGGCCAGTGCCGTGCCAAGGCCAGCGAGCCCAAGTGCCAGTGGCCTGGCCTCCCCAGCCACTCCCCAAGAGGGCAGCACACACACATCCAAGGTGAGCTACACATTACCTGGTAGGGACTTCTTCCGTAGAGATGAGAAGGGCCAACAGATTGCAACCAGAGAAGCTTCAATGAGAGAGTCCCTCTGAGTTTACTGAGGAGCTCCTGTGAGGGAGGGACGCTTGGACGGGCAGCTTCTGCAGCTAGTTTGTGGTTGAGGGTCAGTTTGTCAGGATACTTTAAGGTGATGAGTAAATATACCTCAGCTTAGACCTGGGCTGTTCCTGCTAGCAAAGCAGGCTCCAGTGGGGCCTCAGTACACAAGGTGACAGGCCTGGGACCCCAGTGGTCCTGAATATTCCCCTGGGCTTTCCCCATCCCTAAAGTAGAGCTGAGCAGAAGACAACCTCAGGACATTGTTCCTAACCCCCAAAACTCATAAGCATTGAGAAGAAGAGAGCCCTTTCTTAGCTGATCAGTTCTCCTTCACTGTATCGATTATCCATTCGGTGGAAACACATCATCCCCTCATGTCCCTCTCCAGTCCTCCAGCACCATCACCGTTAGGTGGAAGGATTTCCTGCACGGGGTACCAGGCAGGGCCCTCCTCTCCCAGCCAGGAGCAGATGGAACCTGCCTCCCGGGACCCTCCATGGGGCAACTCAGAGGCCCCCAACTGAGATCGCAGCGGATAAACACTCTTTATTCTCCTCCGGCCCAGGCAGACTTCACGTCTTGGGTAGGAGCAGTCAGTGGCTGTTATTACGAACTTGGGTTGTTTTGTTTTGTTGTTGTTGTGGAAATAGAAATAAGGCATCGTCGTATCAGCTCTGCAAAGCCAGATTCAACCCTGCGGCTGCAGAATCATTTGTGATGGCCCTGCCTTCTGTCCTAGACACGGATGGAGCGCCACGGCCCAGAGCCAGCCCCCAACCAAAGCAGTCCTGGGGCAGGAGACGAGTGAGGCAGAGACGTAGGCCTCCCACTCTGAAACCCTCGTCTTTTTTCCCTTTCCTCTCCCACTCAGCACACGCGTGTGCTCAGGGGTAACTGGGAGCGTGACTGTGTAACCCCCTGATCCTAACAGGCGGGATTGTTACCTGAGACTCAGACTCGGGGCCTTGTACTGTCTTAAAGGTTTCCCCTGCTCGGTGTCCTTTCCTGCCAAAGTGCTGCTATGGGCTGCTTCGCACAAAATTGCTTTCTTCCACCTCGGAAATGCAGCTTTCCTGAGGGAACGGCTGATACGGGACGGCCATTCTGCACCAGCGAGTCTATTGCATTGTGTTTTGAGAATGGGTGTTGAAGTGACGTCTTACACCATTGCAACAGGAGGCACTGAGGCTGGCAGAGCAATTACCAGAAGTGGGATTTGCCTGCAAACAACATTACAGACACTCGATTTGCTGTGCCAGGAAACCTTCCTGGACCTCTGAACTCCTTAAACTCACATCCACACAAGCACTTGAGTCCTGAATAAAGTGGCATACTGCACTGTAGATGCAGGCCCCTGACCAACTCCTTGGGCTTTTGTAGTACCCATGAACTTACGAACTCATCTCTTTAATTCATCTCCCCCTGACCAAGAAATCAGGTTTCTAATCCCTTAGCCTGCATTTACCCTTCTATTAAGACCAGATAATAAAAGACAATTTTCTATGAAGTCACGGAACGCATTAGCATAATCTTGCAATGGTTTCCTCCCACCTCTGAATAAATATGAACCCTAACCTTCCCCCAGTAGCCAACCTGGAGATCCATTCCTAGGTGTCAGAGTCTGCCTCTTTCCCTTGAAAAGATCCCCCCCACCTTTAAATCTCAAAACCTGTGCTTCTCTTTGGATTAAAAAGTAAGGCAGCATCTTGAGAAATTCCAAGCAAAACAGAACCACCACCAGTGTTTGAGATACACAGCGTGCTCAAACTCAGCACTGTAGGTCCCCTCGGAAGAATCTTTAGCTGCACGTCCAGTTTCCCTTGCCAGTGTGAGCCTTCGGGATCCCCTCAGAGTAAGAAAGAGGGAGGTAGCGGGGAGAGGAAGGGAAAAAGAAGGAAGGAGAAGGAAAAGAAAAGAAACCAAGGCAGAGAGATGTTCTAACTAGGTTTGTGTTTAGATACTCCTCTTTTCACTTAAGGCTCCAGACAGACTTCTGGTGGGGAATTCATCTCTCTTTCCGTGTACGCATATGTGTGTCCCGCTGCCTGTCTCAGTCACCAAGGGGGCAGAGCGCCAGCAGGCCTTCAGACAAGGGGGTAGAGCTCTAGGCTCTAGGCCAAGGTGCCGTGAGCCAGGGTCAGGATAGACTTACCTACACCGTGACGGGACGGTATCCTTGAGGGTCCCCCAGGCTCAACATGAGCCGTGAACACAGCTGCCCAATGTGGGGCTGTGTGTTTTTCTAGCTGAGGAATCTATTTCTGATCTGGGTTTCACTTCTCCCCATTCAGTGTTTCTATGAGGTACCGAAATCACTGATACCAGTTCTCTGAAGCTGAGCTCCAGATCTGCTGGTTTTGCCTTCCCTTGACTCTGCCACCACAAAGAGAAGACCCCATGTTCCACCACTCGGCCAGCACGCATCCTCCACACACATCCTCCTTCACATAGGCTATGTGATGAGCCTGGGCGCCCTCTGTCCTCCCAGCCCAGCCCTTGCTTTGCCACACGTTAGTAATGACCCAACTCCTGAGATGGTTAAGTCCACCCAGTCCAAGCTTATCTGCCGACCTGCCTGACTCTGCTGGGCTCTCTGCCGTTAGGGCACGCTTGAGCCTCATGAAATACAGTCGGGGACTCACCTGGTGATACAAGATGATCTGAGATGGTGTAACGTGCAGAACTCTTGCTGGTGTGTATGAATCGTCCACATACTCGATGAAAGCCCATCGTAGGGAAATCAGGTCTCTCCTGGAGTAAAATGGAACAAAATTGAATAACTTTGATGCTTTAAGAAAGTTCTCAGTTTTTCATTACATCCTTATTTCTAAAGCCTGCTCTAGATGTCTCGTTTTTGCACAGAATATTTCTTTAGTGGGTCAAGCCGGGGATAAGTTGAGAGATTCTTTAATTTCTAAGCTCAGCTATAATACATCTTATGAGGTTGTATTGAAAAAGGGGTGCATGTGTAACAGGAGGGGAGCAGAAAGTCACCTACTTTGCTGAGATTTTATGAGAAGGTTAAGGAACATTCACTGCTATTTTTATCAGTTTCATGTCTCTTATGTTTGAGATCTTAAAGGCCCAGTGCCCGTGTATGCAGAGAATCGGGGTGAAGAGAGGCGTTTCCATGCCTTGGGGTAGATTCTTCCTCACTTGCTTCTCACCCATCCTGTCTGTCCTTCCCCCCCTGGTTTCCAGAGCATTGAGCACTTCCCTGGAGTTCCGGGAGAGGACTTTATGCTGTAGGAAAGGAGGACAGTGGCCCCATGCAAGTGGCCAGTCAGGGCATGATGGTTTAACTCCAGACAGGAGCCCCATAGGGAGTCAGGTCCCGGTTTGGATAACTATATATCCACACTGAGACTCTTATTTTAACAAAAGCCAAACGAGATTAACTCAGGAGTTGCGACCTAACATTTTCACAAGGCGATCAGAGGAGATCCCACGTTGATAAACACTGCCTCTGTCGGGAGTGTTGTCTTTTTGATTTTTGTTTTCTCCTCTCTGAACCACCCAGTCATCAATAGGCAGGTCTAACCCAGCAAAGCAGCAGCCCGTGGTTTCTCTGCTGGCTCTAGTGGCAGGCTCAGCTGCAGCCTGCTGGGGCGATTGTCAGCTGCCGTGTGCTACAACTCACCCTGTCAGAGATATAGATGTACCACTTGGGGGCAGAAAAGACTAGGAACGGAAAGAACCGTCTTTGGTTTCTGATGGCCGTCTTTTTCTTGAGTCCCTTCTGCTTTGAGCCTCTGAGGCTTATGCATCCCAGAGAGATCACTCCAAGCCAAAGATAACTGATTCATAGATTGTCCCAACCTACCCAAGGGCCTGAAAAGCTGCTCTTAAAATTCAAGCCAGTTAGTTAAGAAGCAAGAATGGGACTCAGAGGAGATCCTATCACATTGCTGGTGAGGCTGGGGTGTCCCCAGACTGCGCTTTTATTTTTATAGTCTTACTTCCTCCCGCCCCATGCTAAAAATAGGGGGGCTGGTATCTTGACCTTCTAAATGCAAGAAGAGATTTTATAATAAGTCATGCTGTGATGTAAATATATTATTGAGATTGATTTTATTTTTGATGTGGACCATTTTTAAAGTCTTTATTGAATTTGTTACAATATTGATTCTGTTTTATGTTTTGGTTTTTTGGCCCTGAGGCAGGTGGGATCTTAGCTCCCCGACCGGGGATCGAACCCACACCCCCTGCATTGGAAGGCGAAGTCTTAACCACTGGACCACCAGGGAGGTCCCTGAATTCTTATTTCTGGGGGTCTGAAAGAGTTGGGTAGATCAGGTAAAAAGAGATAAGGGGATTTATGGGGGTGTTTTTTGGATTTTTTTTTCGTTTGGTTAGTTGCACTTTTTGGTAAGAGACCTGCTCTAGAACAGCAAAGAAGGGTAAATGTGTGCTCTGCACTGTTTCTGAATTAGCTTCTCTTTAGGAATTAATTTCTGTCCAATTTAATGATGTGATATTTAAGTCCAAAATCTGAGGTTACACAGTACCAGCTCTATTTTCTCTCTCTGGTTTCCTTTTTGTCTTCTTTCTCCTTCTAAGTCAGCTTCTGTCTCTCATTTCTCTGTCTCTTCTCCTTTTAGGGACTTAACATATTATCTAGAAGACTGAAAAACTCTGAAAACATAGGGAAAGCCAAGGAAATAATAGAATGGATACAGAATTTTTCTAGGACATCTTTAACCAATAAATACAAAATTTATGTCTTGATGAAAAGATAAAAAAGTTTTAAAAGGGCGTAGTAATTTGGTAAATGAAAATTATTGAAAGTCAAAAATAATAAAATCTATCCCAGCCTTCTGTACTAACCTGTGCCTTCAGCAGGGTATCGCCTCTCTCTACTTTCTTTCCCTTATTAGGAAAATTAAAATACTAATGCTTGGCTAGTTCACGGGTGTGTCAAGTGTTTGCAAGTTAAGTTACTAACTCATCATTTAAATAAAGCACTTAAGTCTCCACAAATCAGTTTAGAAAACTCTTCACTCCCTATATCCCATTTAGGACCTATGACATTCTTGGCATTGCTGTAAGCATTTTTTTTTTTTTTTTGGAAGAAACTTCATGTTTAATGGATCCTGAATCCAGGAGTTACTTTAATTTCACCCTCTAGTTTTCCCCTTTTCCCTTCCTCTTCATCTTAGCTTGCTAACAACAACAACAAAAATCCAGACTTTCTTTTTTGAATCCAGGAAGGCAGTTGAGTGTCCATGCTCAGAGCTTCCCAGTCCAGTGTCTCCTTTGTGGACACTGAACCAGTCTTAGATCCAATGCTCACGAGCTAACACGTACGATCCTCCCTGAGACCCCTTCTCCTACTCAGCATTGGAAATCTGCGTGGGTCTTTCTCTCTCTCTTCTGCCAGCTTGTCAGAGATAAGGATGGATTATTCTCTCTCTTCTGGACCAGATCCGAGAATGTGTACCAGGCAGTACCACTTTCACTCAGAGGGGGACCCCCAAACTGCAAGGAGACTAAATCAGTCAAAACTGCCAGGTTCACATTTGACCTTATTTGGTGACTCAGTTTTCCTTCCAGTACTCTAATTTCTTCTAGTGATGGCCTGTAGCACAGAAGAACCACCACTCAAAATCTATTAGAAATCTTGATAAGAGATGAGCAGGAAAAACACACTGCAAAGCTTCAAAGTGCCATTAACCAATTTAAAAAAAATAAAATAATAGGAAGTGAGGGCTAAACAAGGTAATCTAACTGCCAATTAAAGTATACTGTAGTTCTGGTCTTAGTTACATTTGATATGGAGCTAGGTAGCATTAAGCAGATCCCAACAGCTTTAGTAAAAACATAGGTGTTATATTTTAATGGCTACCCATGGAGATATATACTTAGCCTGCAGGCCAAACTTCAGTCAGTGTTTTTCTACCCTGGGGTTTTGTGACCAACCAAAATTTATACAAAGCCACCCTAAGTGCTGTGATTGCAGAGGAACCTCCTTCTTGGTGACATTAGAGAGCCGTCCATCTCCACTCAAACTGAGTCCAAGATTGGGAACCCACCCAGAAAAACAAACAGAGGAGAAACATCTAAAGCACTAAGTGTGCAGGGCATTTCATAGCTGGGACGAGTTGGGTAGAGGTGGGGAAAACAAGCTCTAGGACAAAGACAAGGCTAAGGTGAGAAATACCAGCTGGTCCCAGGTAGAGGAAGGCTTAGAGGAGCGTGACCTGGGATCCTCATTTATGCCAGATCGCGGGTCAACTTGTTAGCATGATATCGGGGGCCGAGGGGTTCTTTCCACTCTAGGTAGTGGATTTGAAGGCCTCAGAGGATTAATAGAGCCCTGAAAAAAAATTTCCAGACTTGGGAGATGGAGAGAAAGGAGGTTCTTGCTTTCAAGCAGCCTGAAAACAATCTCGATGACTTTAACTAACAGCTCTTCAATATAGTAGTGCCAGTAGTGGAGAGATTTCATTGATCTTCCTAGTGGCACAAGCACCATAGGAGGGGAGGGGGAGGAGAGGCAGTTAGCGG